TAGGGCCTTTCTACTGGGGATTCCCAGGGGCAAAAGTGTGACTAGGGGCAGGGGTCTAAGTCAGGTTCTCTGCCTTTTAGCAGCTTACAGGTTATAAAAATCCTCCCTGTTCATCCCCCTCCTCAGGTCCCCTCTCAATGAGAGGTATAAATCTATGAAAAATTAAATACCAACTCAAGACAGCACCAGGAAAGACTAAGGTTCCTACAGCCCCGTTCTAATGAAACCCAACTTCCACCCTCAACCCTCCTCAGAAAGCTTCATTGCCTCCTTCCCCCCGACACTCACCTCTGGCTCTGGGGCTAAATGGCCCACCACTCTCCAAACTTAATTTGAGTGACTCATACCCCTCACCCCCACCCCAGCCACCAGAAACCACCTACCTCTAAGCTATATTCCACCCTTCATGTTATACCTCCTGCTTTCCCACCCTCACAACTTTCCTTAAGCCTCAGCAAAGGGGTCCCAACTCTGGTCCCCCGCGCTTTAGGGGGCATTGCTGCAGCCCTTCTCCAATTGTGCCCCCCTCTACAGAGCATGGAGTTCACAGGGCCAAGGGGGTGTACCCACTGGGACCCTAAGCTCATTTCCAAACCTGTATTCCAGTGATCCTGGCCCAAGCGGCCCAAGCCTGTTTCCAGCCTTCCTCCTGAGTGCGGACACTACCTTCAGGCTGTGTCCCCAGGCTCAAGGTTGACAAAAGGCAGTGGCTGTGCAGGTCTGGACAGAGCCTGGAGTGTGTGTTCCTGTCACAGCAGAAGGGCCCTTGCTGTGAGGGATGGAGCAGAGGGTGGGCCAAATGGGGCTCAGGGCCAGGGGTAGACTCTCATTGTAATAACATACTCTGCACAGAACTCCAAGAAGTAGAAAGTTCTGGTTTCCCAGGTCTTCCCAAAGGTGTATTTGTCAAGGCAGGAGGAGTAACCATGTTTCATTTGACAAGGAGTGTGAATTTTAACTCTTAGACACTTAGACATACGGTATGAGTTATCCCCTGACTCAGGCCCAGGCCCTGGCCCTGCAAATGTTGGGGTGGGCCCATCCAACTGCAAACACTATTGGAGATTTTTCTGAGGCTTTCAGAGGAACGAGGGATGGTGACATTGCAAAACTTCATACATTTCTATTTAACCAGCTCTGTTCTTCCCCTCAGTTTCCTCTCCTTACTACAGCCAGCCCATCTCTCCTTTCTTCCCGGGGACCATCTCCTTGGCTAGCCCCTCCAGCCTCCTCACTCCCCCACCTGTAAGATCTTCAAACTCCCCTCATCTTCCCCTCCTCCCACCCCCTACCTCTGAACAAAAGCCCTGTGCCTGGTTAAACAGCTCTCAGCAAGGCAAAAGCCCATCCTATGTCAAAAGGGTCTTCTCTCCCCACTTTTTCTGCTTTCTGTTATCAGTCTACTTCCCACCACTGCCGTGTTTTTGAGTCATCTCTCCCACTAAGCGGTGAGCAACTCCAGGGCAGAGGCGGTGTCCTGTTCGGCTCCTATTCCAGCACCTTATACTTTGAGAGCTTTCATGCAAAGTTGCATGGATGAATTCACAGAGCAGTTGGAACCTGAGTGAGACCTGAAGGATAAGTAGAATATGGAAAATGAAGTCAGAAGAGGAAAGGAGTAGAGGGAACAGAAGGAGCAACAGTAGAGTCTCCATATCAGTGGGCAATAGTGAGTCATCGACTATTCTTGACCTAGGATATGACAACATATTAGGAAGATCAACCTGTGAAGAATTTACTGAAGTCAGGGACAGCCAAGATGCAGGGAGGAGAGGAAAGCAGCTGGAACCTTGGGTGTCAGAGGGTCAGGGGTACAAAGGCAAAGCAAATGGATGCAGGAGGCTGTACCTTGGGCTTGGCAATATCACTTGCCTGAGGCCACACAGTTCAGATAGTCAGAACTAGAACTCCATTCTCCTGATTACCAGTCCCCTGTATAATTTCCACCGCACTGAGACTCAAAGGAGGTGGCACTGAACTGAGTCTTGAGAGCAGCCGAGGGGGAAGTTTTGCCCAGCAGACACAGCACTGGGTACTCTAAACTGGTCTTCCCAGCTGCCTCTGGCAGCATCCTGGGTAACAGCTTTTTGCAGGAGATTCTAACTTTCCAACCTGGGAGAAAGCACAGGCCCTGATTTGGATGGGGTTGAGGAATACCCCATGGGGAAGAGATTCAGGTTTGCTACTGTTCAACCTCTCAGCTCCTCACCCTGGTGGGACAGGTGGGCAAATGGTGATGCTTACACTCTGGCATCCTGGGTGAGGGGTGAGGGAAGATGCGGACCTGATACCTATACAGTGCTCCATGGCTTCCAAAGCATTACTCTTGACAACCCCACTTTCCCATCTCTCTACCTAGTGAATCGTATTTATTCTTCAAGTTGCTTCTTCCATGAAGCCTTCAATCTTCAGACTTCCCTCCTCTGGACTCTCACAGCCCTGTGCTTCCATTCTAGTTTATTACTTGCTACCCTATGCCAGTAACAGCTGTGTGACTTTGGAAAAACCACTCAACCTCTCTATGGCCCAGTTTCATCATTTGTAAAAGCAGGGTGATGAAAGCATTGTTCATAGTGATTTTAAGCAACTTAAATGAAATAATACATAGAAAACTGCTCCACCCTGCTAGCCATTACGGTAACTACAATGCCTTGTCAGTTGGTTGATTGTGGGTCAGTCTCCCCTACTGCTCTAAAAATTCCCTGAGGATAGGGATCACATCTGGCTTGTGTCCATGTCACCAGCAGGCCCATTTATTCAACCCACCAGCACTTATTGAGCGCTTAATATGTGCCAAGCACAGTGAGACAATCTGTGTTTAGAGATAAGTAAGAAATTTGAGGTGCTCCCAGAGTCAAGGTGGACACCGACCAGTATATCAAGAGGGCAGCGGAGGGTCTCAATGCTGCTGAGGCTATGAGTACAGTCAGGCCATCAAGTCAAAACTTATTTAGATGAACAGAATTGTGCCATTTGACCCCACAGTGGTAGCATTTAAGGATGAGGAGATGGTCACTCAGTTGAGACAATCTACCACTAGTAAGTCACAGGGCTGGGGCTGGGACTGGAGCCCCTCATTTCTCAAGGAAAGGGGCTCATAGGCACCCCCTGGAAAATCCCCCCTTCTACTGCTCTCCAGCCTCAGCCTCTGCCCAACGTTTTGCAGTTAAAGAACTTCCGGGCAACATCCATTCATTCACCGGGCTCTAGTCCGGGCCAGCCCTGGCTTCCAGGATATTTTTAGCTCTGGCGGCCAGGCCAGGCTGGTGATTGGCAGCAGGCGGGGCCCACCACGTTTCCGAGCCCTCCGTGTGTTGTTGCTGGCTGGGTATGAGAGGTGGCTGGGCATGGGGAGGGGGCCAAGGCATACCTGGCACCACAGCCCACAGCTGCCTCATTGTCCCTGGGGGAGGGGCTGGGCTGCTGCTGCTGTTGCTGCTACTAACCCAAGGCTGAGAGCATTCTTTCCTGTTGATTCATCACAGAGAACGCTTTGGACCCACTTGGGGGCAGGATAGGGGTGCTGGGGGGGAACATCTAAAACATGGGCAGCCAGGGGAGGATGGTGGTCCTCTGTCAGCCAAGTCAGTGTGTCACCTAGGGATCAGAAAGGTCCACCTTACCATCCTAGCTCTAATCCGTCTCTGTCTGTGGTGGTGTCTGTTTACACATCTGCCTCCCACACCAGACTGGGAAGGCCCCTCCCACCCACTCACTCCTGCAGTGTCTAGCACTCCAGTACTCTGTCTAGCATGTAGGAGAAAATCAATAAAGTTTTGCTGAATGAATGAGCCTTTGGAATGACACTCAGGCAGGTAACGGGAGAGGGGGAAACCAGACTGTACTGATTTGAGCCTAGGGAGGAAGATGGGAGGTTAGAACTCTCCATTTTACAGACAGGGGCACTAAGGCACTGGGATGGACCAGGACTCTGGAAAAGAATTTGGAGGCAAGAGACTGGCACCTGGGTGCTCAACTAAGCTGATGGGACTGTGCCCTTTTAGCCTTTTCTACTTTCATCTCTTTTCATAGCCTCCCCCCAACCCACCCTCCACACACGCCCGCCCCCATGGGCCTGTCAAGGGCCATGGCTGCCTCATTCCACTCTATAAACGATAGTAGTGGAGGATTTAAGTTCTGGTGACTTGGGGAGCAAGTCGTGTCTCTTGGGACTCAGAGTTCTCAACTGTACAATGGGCAGAACAGAGGCCTCAAGCCCATGAATTTTGAGGGACCAGGGCAACAGAGGGGACCACCTGTTACCCCAAAGAGAGCACACTTGCACCACACTATCTGGATCATTTGAATGGAGCCCCCAACTCCTGTCCACATCCCCATAAGGGAGTCTGCTTTGTCCTAAATAACCAAGTACCCTAGGACTGACTGGCATTTCATGGGAACCCACTGGCACCTTTCTGAGACCCACTGAATGTAATCTCCATGTCAACTTTGGGTGTGAGCCTATCACCTGCTTTGTCAGAGGAGGAAAGTGCGCCTGCCTCGGACAGGGGCTCACAAGGCCAGAGTCGCACTCAGCAGATGTAGCTGGCTGGCGCTGAGCCACTATCCTTTCGCTGGAACTCAAACCCTCCCACCATCCCTCCTGCTGCAGCGTGCCAGTCTCCTCCACGGAAGACAGTTCTCCTTCCCCTCTGACCCCCGCAACTTAACGACCCCGGGATTTCCCAGGCCCATGGGGCCGCGGACACAGCCTCTGCGGGCTGGCACCCAGCCAGCCTGGCCGGCCTCCCGGCTAGGGGCGCAGGGCGGAGGGGCCGCAGGGCGGGGCACCGGCCTCCTCCAGGGCCGCCGGGGGCGGGGCCTGCAGGGCCTCCTCCACGCCCTGCTGGGTGGGGGGCGCCGGCGGCCCAGCGGGATAAAAGGGCCCCAGGCGCCCTAGGAGGCCCGTTAACGCTGCTTCGCTGCAGCTCCCGCCCAGCCCCGGACCATCCCGTGCTCCAGCTGGTGAGCCCCCGCCTGGCCCTGGCTCTGGCCTTGGGTCTGTTCTGTAGCTGTCCTGTAAGTCTGTCTACTTCCGTCTCTCTGTGGGTTTGCAAGCCTCTGAGGGTTCCTGAAGTCTGGGCGCTGGGAGGGATGTGAATCCCATGGACAGTTAACCAGCTCCCAGTTGCTTACCAGCTTGCTTCTAATAGAAGTCACTAAGTTGAGAAGCTTGGTCCCAGGACTGCCCTGGCCTTGGGGTGCCTGCGTGTCTTGTTTGTGAGTGTGTGAATGTAACCATTTCTCTGCCTTCTCACCCAGGGAGGAGGCAGGGGAAGGTGCGCGGCAGGTTCAAATGTCACTCCTGTGACTTGGGGGACAAAGAAGCAGGGCAGAGCCAGGCTCTCCAACAAACAAGAGCAGAGCTGATTAGGGAAGGGGAGAGGAGAAAGGGCAGGGCAGGCAAAGGATGGAGGGTGGGCTGAGGGCTTCAACTCCAAGTCCTATGCCTGGACAGGTAGAGCTCAGCGACCTTTGGCTGGCACTACTTCAGGTCACCATAATTGGTGATCCCAGGGAGAGTATCAGGGCTCAGAGGAGACGCCCCACCCCATTCTCAAAGAGGTAGAGAAGGAACTTCGAGTGATCCAGAGGCTGTTCCTCACCAGGACAACATCCTCAATGCTCCCTCCTAACACCTTTGGGCATTTCTAGTCCTCCCTAGTGGGGCCAGTAGCAGCACCTGGAGCAGGTACCTCTCTGCTTCTAGCTGGCAGGGCCCTGGATCTGTCATTTGGTTGTACTGAGTACTGGCACCTACCCCAGTCCCCACACACCATAGCTGGTCATAAATCAACCAGCAACAGGGTGGAATTTCATTCATTTCCCTGCCTCCCTTCCTTCCTCCCCACTCCTCCTCCAAACTCCATCTCTCATGGCCGAGAGCCTGGCTTTTGGAGTCAGTCTGCCTGGGTTTGAATCCTGGCTGTGCAAATTACTTAGCATCTCTGGGCTTCATCTTCTCATCTGTAAAGCGGAGATAAGTATTCAATACATATTTTTACATTATGTAATAATAATTATTAACTCCCATCCCCATCCTTCCCCTCACCCTGTCTCGTTTAAGTGGGAAAACAGCTGCCACTTTGAGGCTGTTTCCTTCTCAAAGGGAGGGGGGTCCTCAGCCTGGTCCTTTTTTCTGTATTCCGCACTGGGGGACCTGCTATGGGTAGACACTGTACAGACTGGTTATGGAGATAGGAAGCAAACAGGCCAAGTGCTAGGAAGGTTTAATGGAACGGTAGCCTTTGAGCTGGGTATTGGAGAAATTTAACAATCTGAAATGGAGGGAAAGGATGCTCCAAGTGAGAGCAAAGGCTTGGCAGCTGGGAACTTGAAGGATATGTTGGGGAATGTGAGGCGACAAGTTTGGTGTGAGCAAAAAGCTGTAGAGGTACCGTGGGCAGGAAGGCTCAGAAGAGGAGTTCCCCCTGTACCCGACTCTCAGTCCCCCTACTGCCCACCCACCTCCTGGGCAGCTTTCATGGAAAGGAGCTGCTCTGACATAGCACTCAGGGTCCTGCAGCAGAAGCCCACCCCTGCCTCCAGGGAGGCCCCTTGGAGGGGAGGAGCCAGTTGGTCCAGGACTGTCCACAGCTTCTAAGACCTCCATGATGCTGTGGGACATCAGCCACCGCCACACAGGCAGAGCTGCCCAACCTATTCCACAGTCCATCAGAGCATGTCAGCATGTCTTAGATAGGGGGACCCCCTAGGGCCACCCCCTCTCAGAGAGAGGAAAGCACCTAACTCAAGTCACATAACAATTTGGTGGCATAGTGACAAGCATCCTGACTCCTTGAGACAGGGAGCAGGGTACACTCTCAGTCCAGGCCCAAGGGAACCACTGGGTCATAACAGCAGGAGAAACCTGAGCCCAACCCTTCCTGTCCTCTCTTGTCATCTGTGGAAGGTCTCTACGCACAGTGACTTTGGTTTGGCTCAGTCCCTAGCTATCTCCCTCCTCCTTAGGGGTGCTGGAGGAGGGAATGGGGACATCCCAAGCAGTGGAGAATACTCTGCTCATGGTGACAGCTAGCTGGGGGCCCCATGGGGAGTAAAAATAACAGTGTTCAAGTCTGGAAAGAAAGTACAGGAGGGGTCAAGGCAGGAGAAGGCTTCAGTGCTGAGAAAGGGGAAGAGGCAACACAGGGCTTCAGGAAGTGGAGGAGAACCTAGGGCTCAGAGGTAAAAGAGGCAAAGCTGAAGAATGCCACAAAGAGGGGTACCAAGAACTAGCTGTTGTGTTCCGATGTGGCTTCCATTCCTTCTTTATCCAAAGAGGAGCTGGAACCAACCTAGACCAATGGTTCTATAGTATGTTAGAGCTGCTGTTACTAATAGTAACTGTCACTTGAGAGCTAGCTTTTCTAAGGGTTTAAGGTGTATGCATTCATTTAACCTTCAAGAATCCTATGAGGTAGGTGCTTTTATTATCCACATTTTACAGAGGAAACTGTGGCACTGAGAAATTAAATCACTTGCCTAAGACCACCCAGAAACAAATTGGCAGAGGTGGATTATAAATCCAGGCAGTCTGACTCCCCATCTGTACGCTTAAGTGCTGTGCTATGTCACCTCAAATCCATGCAACCACGGGTGTTTACTGGGTGCCACCTACATACCTAGTTCTATTCTGGGCAATAGGGGCACAACACAAAGTCCCTGTTTCAGTGGAACTTCATTCCTGAGCCCATCCAGTTCACTTCTAGGAGTCCACTCTACCCAGTCCTGGGCTGGCCAAAGCAGAAGGATTGGCAGCTGAAGGCAGCGGGGCCAGGCTTAGAAAGGAATGAGTGATTCTCAGCCAAACACCAACCTGTAGGGAAAGGAGTGGCAGGGGGCCCCCTGAGAACATGGTTTCTTATGATGCAAGCACTGAACAGGCAGCCAAGAACCCAACTTTCTCCATCCACTGCTCCAGGCAGCCTCAGCTGAGCCTGACAATGGAGGAACTGCGGCATTGTTGGCTACAGACACTCTGACAGCTCTAATCAGCTATAACTTGCTCTTCTATGCTCCATCCCAACCCTGGTCCCAGGACCAGGGAAGCTACTATATGAGAGAGGATCAACCCCGAACCTCATCCCTTTTAAGGACTCAAGGAGCATCTGATTACAGCCTCCTGAAGACAGCAGCCCTCTCTCTGGTGGATGATCACTGCCTAAAACGCTCCCATGGCCACTCACTTCCTACAGGATGAAGGACAAACTCTTCATGGTGCACAAGGCCTTTGAGCATCTGGCCCCAGACTGACCCTCCACTTATGTCCCCTCCTGGTCTTGCACAAACTTACGTCTTCTCCTCTTTCCTTCTTTACCCATTCTCTTCTCTCTTCCTGGAATGCTGAGTTTTCCCATCTGGCAAGGCCCAGATTATGTGTCTCTTGCCTGAAAGCCTTCCCTAATTCTTCTTCTCTGGGCTTCATGCGGGCAGGGAGTAGTGTTTACCATCCTCATGTCTGTGTCCCAGCATCTGGCCTAATTGGCCTGAAGCAGGTATTCCACAAATGTTTGTTGAATCAATGTACAAATCACACACCTAGATGGCCATAGAGCTAGGGCTTGAGGATATCGTAGACTATCCCAGCTGAAGGAGATATTAGACAATACCGGGTAGGGCAAAAGTAGGTTTATAGTTGTGAGTACATGAAACAGAGTTTATTCTTGTATTATTATTTATTATTTATTAATTATTGTATTATTTTTCCATACCAATAATTGTAAACCTACTTTTGCCCCAGCCTTTATTTGGTTCAACTACCTCACTTTCAAAATAAAGAATTAGAGCCTAGAGAGTTTAGGAGACTTGCCCAAGCCACACAGCAAATGAGTGGTAGAGGCCTATACTTCCCTCAAATAACCCTTTCCACCCCAGCATTCCATATGCCTTCTATAGTGAGGGTGGCCAGGGTGCTGGGAACATCACAAGAAGGATGAGGGCAGTTCCACTGGGGTAGATATTTCTGGCCCTGAGGGCACTCCTGGGGGCTCCCCATGACTCAAAGTATAGGTCACCTCTTCTATTTATATATAACACTGTATCAAGAATAGCTGTTTACTGAGCACTTATCATGTGGTAGGCTTGTACTATGTACTTTACATACAGCATTTTATTTAACACTCACAACAACACTGCAAGACAGGAATTATCCCCACTTTGTAGGTAAAGAGATTGAGACTCAGTAAGGGTAACCTTAAACTTCCTCAAGTTCACATGGCAACGAATAGTAGATCTGAACCAAACTGACTAACCTTAGAGTCCAGACTCAATGCCAGCACCCCCCCACCCCAAAACACACACACTTGGAGGGACCCTGCCATGCTTTGTCTCTGCCAGAAAAAGAGGCCTGAGGTCAGGGATAGAGGTGGTAATCACTGTCATGTTTACTCATTCCCCAGGTGGCCTTGGCCTCAGCTGCCCTTGAAGTCACCATGATGTGGTCCCCACCAGACACTTTCTCCCTGCTCCTGCTGTTCCTGCTGCTGGGCCAGGTCCCTCTCTGCAAGTTACAGTCACTGGGCACCATGAAGATACGGTTGGTGGGCCCAGGAAGCAGGCCAGAGGAGGGCCGCCTGGAGGTGCTGCACCAGGGCCAGTGGGGCACTGTGTGTGATGACAGCTTCGCTCTCCAGGAGGCCACAGTAGCCTGCCGCCAGCTGGGCTTTGAGACTGCTCTGACCTGGGCCCACAGTGCCAAGTATGGCCCAGGGGAGGGTGAGTGACTGGTGCCATCAAGCAAAATGACAAGGAAATGGTCGAGGGCTTCTTTCAGGAGCTAGGCTCATTGAGATTCCAACAGAACACATCAGACTCCCACCTGTCCTTTAATACCCAGCTCAAATGACCTCCTCCATGAGGCATTTCCCGAGTGCCTCAGCTGTCAATGACCCCTGCTCCAACTATTCCATTTGTTCTTGCAATAAGGCTACCACTATTACCATTATGACAACCAAATACTCAACTAACTTCCTTGAACACAGTGACTGGCACAGAGTGGGTGTTTAGCAAATGTTGAATGAATAAATAGATGGATGAATGGGAGAACAGGTTGGTCTAATTACTAGATCTACTTGTCATTTTTTAAAAACAGACTCTACAGGACCTGATGCCAAGAGGAGACAGTAAGCAGGGTTGTAGATATCAAGATCCCAGGAGAACCAACTCCTCTCTTCTCTTCATCCCACTTTCTGCTTAGGACTTAAGAGGAAAGTTGATAACTGTGAGGTCTCATCCAGAAGGCAAAGCCCATGACCTGCCTTTCTATGTTTTTCCCTGAGCATCACCTCCCCCTCCCCCTCAGGACCCATTTGGCTGGACAATGTGCGCTGTTTGGGCACAGAAAGCTCCTTGGACCAGTGCATGTCTAATGGCTGGGGTGTCAGTGACTGCAGCCACTCAGAGGACGTCGGGGTGGTGTGTCACCCCCAGCGCCAGCGTGGCTATCTTACTGAGAGAGTCTCCAATGCCCTCGGGCCCCAGGTGAGGAGGCTTTTAAGGCCCTGGCCTGAGTTAAGTGTTGGGTCAGGGGACAGAGAGCCTCCTGGGTGATGAACCTGGAGATGGAAGCAAGAAAGAGACTGAGCGTGGGCTGAGGTGTGTCCCTGGGCTCTGACTCCTATTGGTGGCCTAGAGCAGGTGCATGGACAGAGGACCCCAGCTTGAGGCAGGGCAGGCCAGGAAAGCAGAGGCTGGGCCTGCTGGGAATCACTGAAGTTGCTCCCCATGAGGGAGGCAGCAGAGGGGCAAGGGGCTGTCTCACCCACAAGGCCAGCCATAATTGCTGCCTCTTCCCGGCACAAACAACCCCAAGCTAAAAACAGCCCAAGCCAAACAACAGGAGCAGGCAGGGCAAGTCCTGGCTCCTACCGTCCACGAGGACTGCTGGCCCTGGCCCACTAAGTGCTGTAGGCCAGGATGGGAGCTCAACATGGTCTAAGTCACCCCAGGGCTAGGGTGGGGGGTTGTGTGGGCCAAAGGACCTGTTGGCAATCTCAAACAGCTGGTATTTGACCATTTTCAGCACCCCTTCTATAGCTAGTGGAAGCCAGGGAGGGTACAGATCTGCCTGGCTCTCTCTAATTGAGGAAAGGGTCCTAAACAAACCAAGGTTCTGCCTTGTGCTCACCACATAGCCTTGGGTAAATGCCTCCCCATTTGGGCCTGTCTCCTGACCTGTCCAATAAGGGAGCTGTGTGGGGTGATCTCCAAGTACTCAGAGCCCCAGCTCTCCCACATGAAGACCTGCAGTGGGCTCAGCAGGAGCAGGAATCCCAGGGCCCACAGTGACCATGCACCCTGCAGGGCCGGCGGCTGGAGGAGGTGCGGCTCAAGCCCATCCTTGCCAGTGCGAAGCGGCAGAGCCCAGTGACCGAAGGAGCTGTGGAGGTGAGGTACGACGGCCACTGGCGGCAAGTGTGTGACCAGGGCTGGACCAGGAACAACAGCAGGGTGGTGTGCGGGATGCTGGGTTTCCCCAGCGAGGCCCCTGTCGACAGCCACTACTACAGGTAGGGGGGCAGCTGGGTAGAGGGCACTGGGGTGGGGGGCTCATGGGGCAGTGGCTGTGTGTGTGCATGTGTGAGTGTATGTGTGTGACACATGTGGGAACTTGCAGAGGTGAGATTGGTAGGGTTGGGTGTCCATGGCAGGTCATTCAGTGGGCGTTGGGACTGGGAGGGATACAGGCCCAAATGAGCAATGTTCCTAAATTACCTGGGTTATGCATCCCCTAGAATAATTAAGAATGTGAGCGTGAACGTTGAGACCTTGGGAGATGCCTAGAAATTGTCAGAAACTAACTGATAAAAAGAGTTGGCTATAGTACAGAATACTCCCCATAGAAAATAATAACAACTGAATGTAAAATTGTGTCCCTGATTTAAAAAGCAGGCTTTACTGAAGATACCTACAGTGCTGCCAACAAAAATAGACAACCTGAGTCTGGTCTCACCTCTGCCAGCACCTAGCTATAGGGCCTCAATAGGGTACTTGAGCCTCAACTACCCAACCTCTAAGGAATAAGGAATTATCTCAGCTTTGCCCTAGTGGATTTCCTCAACTCCGATCCAAGCCAGGCCTCAGTTGGGTTGTGTGTAATCAAGGTGTCGGGTAGGGCAGCATTTGGAAGAGAAGACATAAAGCATTCTGTCAAAAATGTGACAGGACTGTCGCAAGATTGCATCAGCCTGTCAAGGATAGCCAGGCACAGCTCTACCAGCTCTGTGTCCGTGAAGACTGTGTGTTTCTCATCAAGGGAGAAACTTTCTGCAGTACATCTGAGTCATCATCTACCCTTGCCCACCCTAGTCAGTTTTAGTCGCTCTGTCCTGTGTCTCTGACTTAGATGACCCTGGTCCTGAAGACCAGCCACTTCATTCTACTCTTGAGGGTTATGGGCATGGAGGTCCTGGACTCCCCAGCCCTGGAATTGCACATCTGAGCCTGGCTGACTCTCTTACCACCCATGAGGAAGGCAACCCTGATTATAGCCTCTGGGTGGGCAGCTGCCACCAGCAAGGCTTTCAACTTGCACCTGTCCCCAGAGGACCTCTCCCCCTGGGTCCCTTCTTTCAAGGTGCTTCCTAAAGGTGCCCCTTCATCTGGAATGGGGAGAGGGCAAGCTGGGGGCTGCCTGTCCCAGGGACAGGCCAGGGCAACAGAGATCCCACTTTGGGATTAGTCAAGGGAGCTTGCTAGGTACTGCTTTCCTTCCCTATAAAATGGAGATCATTGTTATCTGTGAGGTGGTCACCCTCTCAGGGCTGCTGGGAAGCTCAGTACTGAAATAGGATCTGTGAACTAGTTTACAAACTGTGAAGTCCGGTGCAAACTCAAGGACAACTGTGAGGAGCCAGGGTGACTGGGTAGGACTTCTGCACCCACTCCACACCCCACCTCTTTTCTCCCACCCAGGAAAGTCTGGGATTTGAAGATGAAGGATCCTAAGTCTAGGTGAGGAGTGTACCCTTGGGGAAGGATGTGAAGGGATCCTTTGGGCTGATGGGTCTCCCTCCCCACCCCTTTCCTCCCCTCCCTCCCCCTTCATTCATCTCCCCACCCGCACCTCCTTCCCAACTCCCCAGTGCCTTGGCTTTCCTGAGTCTTGAGCTTCCCTCAACCCCTCCCCCACCCGCAGTCTCCCCTGTCTTCCAGGCTGAAGAGCCTGACCCAAAAGAATTCCTTCTGGATCCACCGGGTCAACTGCCTGGGGACAGAGCCCCACATAGCCAGCTGCCAGGTGCAGGTGGCGCCAGCACGTGGCAAACTACAGCCGGCCTGCCTGGGTGGCATGCACACTGTGGTCAGCTGTGTGGCAGGGCCCCGCTTCCACCCTTCTAAGGCCAAGCCTGGGCGCAAGGAGTCCAGGGCAGAGGTAGGCTCTCTGGTGTCTGTACCCTGGCAGGGAGGCACAGCCTCCCTCTCCGCAGAACCCTGCCTTTTGGGGAAAGACTGATGGGGAAGAGCTCCAGGACAGGCAGGAGAGGAGGTACAGTGGCCCCTATCAAGAAGGTGTCAGTGCAACTGGGAGGAGAGAGGCACGCACAGAATGGTAGAATCTTGAATTTATTTAAAAGGGACCATTTATAACCCAACCATAAATGGAAAGCTGACATCACCTTCTATGAATAGAAGGTAACCGTAAAAACAGTAATTACATTGGAGCTATATCCCGTATTGAACCAGAGCCTGGCCCTTTGTTATAAAAAGCAATGAGCAAGTGCTGGTGAGGTGTTACAGAGAGGGCAGCACCCCATGTCTCCTGGATGTAATAGGGAGGAGTGGAAGAGAATACAGTGGCAATAAGTTTTCCTATTATGTGAGTCAGTTTAATTAATACCATGTCCCTGCATGTCTAAAACTGCTTCACATATCCCTTTGGGAAGAACTGATCTAGTTTAACCCCCAAGGACAAAGAGGAAGCAGAGGCTTGGCAAGAGGAAGGGACTCGCCTGGTGACCAGGCAGTAGTGTTGTGAAGCACAGTCTTTCATTAGAGCTGGATGTTGCTTTACTATCATATTGTTGTGGCTCTTTGTCACTGAAGAAGGGGAGGTTGAGAAAAACAGCTTATTCTAGGTAATAGTTATGGGTAAGAGTCAGAGTCAGTGTCTCTGCCCAGCTGGAAGGTGCCTGGCCCGTCCTCTCACAGTGGCTCAGCCCCTGTCCCCGCTCCTTGGCCCTCCCTGAAGCTGGTTCTTGCCCAGCAGGAGCCAAGGGTGCGCCTCCGCTCGGGGGCCCAGGTGGGCGAGGGCCGAGTGGAAGTGCTCATGAACCGCCAGTGGGGTACAGTCTGTGATCATGGGTGGAACCTCATCTCTGCCAGCGTTGTGTGTCGTCAGCTTGGCTTTGGCTCTGCTCGAGAGGCCCTCTTTGGGGCCCAGATGGGCCAAGGTGAGTGAAGAGGCCTGATGTGCCACTGTTCCATCCCTTGGTGGAAATTCTCCCCCATTGTGGAGGGGAAACCACAGCTATGGGACTACAGAGATGGAGCCTCACATGGCATTTCTCTCCCTCCCTCTCTAGGCCTGGGGCTCATCCACCTAAGTGAGGTGCGCTGCAAGGGATATGAGCGGACCCTCAGTGAATGCCCCTTCCGGGAAGGCTCCCCTAATGGCTGTCGACACGAGAATGATGCTGCTGTCAGGTGCAATGTCCCAAACATGGGCTTCCAGAATCAGGTGAGCTCAGGTCTGGGCATGGCCTCAGGCTAGGGACTGGGAAGGCCCTGGGATGGCCCCCGGGACACAGCATGGAGCCAGTGGGAGGGGTTCATGGGAGGCAGCTAGTGCTTTGCTCTGAGCCCCAGCTGGAGCCAGCCTGGAAAGCCACTCCTCTCCTGAATCACCCCTGGCCTGGTCCACAGCCCCTCAGGGCAATGAGAGCTCTTCAGGTGGATGGTTCTCCTATTACACCTTCTCAGGATCCCTGTAAAGTTGAGAAAGAAGATGCTTAGGGCAGAGGGCCACAGGGCTGTCAGCTGGAGAGTGGCACTAGAGAGGCTGCAAGGGGTGATCAGAGCTCAAGTGTCATGCTAATGTGGGCTGCGGGCAAGTCTCTGGTGTCTCTGATCTTGGTTTTCTCTTCTGTAAAATGGGGTTAATTGACTCAGAGTCACTGTGAATGGGACAGTTGATAGGAAATCCTTTGCAATTGACAAGGCGTCATTAATGGTAGGATTTCAGGCAGAAGGAGGGCAAGTACTGGAATAGGAGCCCTGGGAACAGGCACTTTGAGTCAGATTTGTGGAGCACGTAGGGATATTAGAGACTATCTGGTAAAGTGTCCTCATGTTACATAGAAGGAGGCAGACCAGAGAAGGGGAGTGTCAAGTCAGGGCCTCACAGTGAGCTGGCCTGGGAATCCTGAGCTCCCCCCTCCTAAGACCGCCCTATTCCTCACACATCTCTGACCATTGCAGGTGCGCTTGGCTGGTGGGCGCAACCCTGAGGAGGGTGTGGTGGAGGTACAGGTGGAGGTGAACGGGGTCCGACGTTGGGGGGCCGTGTGCAGTGACCACTGGGGGCTCACCGAAGCCATGGTGACCTGCCGACAGCTCGGCCTGGGTTTTGCCAACCATGCTATCAAGGTAGGTCTCTGTCTTGCTTTAAAATTTCCTGTGATAAAGCTGCTAACCATTCATTCACTCATTCATTCATGTATTCAACAATTAATTACTCAGTGGAACTGGGCCAATATAATGCTGGGTGCTGAGCATACTGTGGTGAATGAAGACATAGTTCCTGCCTCACAGAACAGTCAGTCAAGGGAGGGAGGCAGCCATTAATACAACATTTACACAACAGGCACATGATTGTGTCTACAGGAAAGACTAATAGAAGCTAAGCAAATTAGGTGGGGGAGGAATAAACAGCCCATGCAAAAACCTATGACCAGAGAAAGCTCAACTCAGTAGAGGAAATCAGAGACCAGAGGTGGAGTGTGGCTATCAAGGGTGTGAAGTGTCAAGGTGCAGGAGGCAGGGGCAAAACCTTAAAGCCTACAGTGCATATTTTTAAGATTTCTTCCCTGTCCTTTGCAAACAGTTGCGGTGGGGACTAAAGTGAATACAGGGAAACACACTCAGGAAATACAGTGTTGCAGGAGCTCAGGTGGAAAATGACGCTGGCTAGGACCAGGCAAGTGGCAGTCCTGGTAGAAATAAGTGGATAGAGTCAAATACAGTCAAAGATGTCAAGGAAGCAAAATCAAGAGACTTTGGGCATGACTGCAATGGACAAACCTCTTCAACTGCATCCTTGCTGGCCTACTGGGCAATGCTGGGCACACCTTACCTGGAGAACCAGGGCCAACCTGGAGCACAACCGACCATATGGGGTTGGGAAACAGGAGAGGCCGCCTGGGTGGGCAGGAAGGGACCCTCCTCTTCAAATAGCTGAGGGCTGCCATGTGGGAGAGGGATGGGAGCAGAGCCACATGGGATGGTGGAAACCACAGGCAGTGTATTTTTGCCTCAATACATGGAAGAAATGGCTACTATCAGAGGACTCTAAAGTGGTGGAATCCTCTGACTCCAAAGATACCTCTCAACCCTGACTGGGTGATGCTGGCTGTTTTCTCAGGACACCTGGTACTGGCAGGGGACAGCAGGGGCTGGAGAAGTGGTGATGAGTGGGGTGCGCTGCTCAGGCACAGAGCTGGCCCTGCAGCAGTGTCAAAGGCATGGGCCAGTGCACTGCTCCCATGGCACGGGGCGATTCTCAGCTGGAGTCTCCTGCACAGACAGTGAGTAACGGGAGGACCCATGGGACAGTGGGGCAGGCAGGCATGGGCTCCCCCAAAAGCAAGCCTACAGCTCCCTCCCTCAGGAAGGGCTCTGAGGGCTGATCCCAGATCAAGGATAGCAGGGTGGGGGAGTAGTAAGAGGGCTGGATTTGGAACAACAGCCCTGCCATTTACCAGCTGTGTGTGGCTAAGTCACAGCTCACACAGGGATACAAAACCTGTCCTGCCCATCTCATGGAGTTATTGTGAGAATTGAAACAGAGAATATGTGACAATATAAGGATATACAACAGTATTTTTCAATTTTCACATCATGACCTATAGTTAAAAAATAAAAGAAACAGAATAGAAAACAACAGAATGAGTTATATTAGTAAAAGTAATTTTTTTTCTTGGAATTATGGAGATGTGTACTAGGTCATGACATGAGATATATTTCTCACTGTTGATTGTAGTGAGGAAAGAGTTGGAAAACTGTTACAGAGGATACATAAATGTGAGGACACAAGGTCCTAAGGCTTCCTGTGTATTCTTCTGAACTGTGGAATTTAACCAAAACGTTTTAGGCCAAGATCATTTTCAGGCATCGGTCTGTCCCATACACCAATTCCTAGGGCAGTAGCATCTTTCTGACATCTGCCAACCAGGTCTGTACTAAGATAACTACGTCTACCCAGTCCAAAGGCTATAGGCTGGCACCAACCCAAGTGGCCCTTGGACCTTTTCCCCAAACAAGTGTCAATGCCAAGACATCCTTAACCTCTGCCAGTGAGCTTTAGGGCTTTCTCTGTCCAGCATACCTTGGAAGAACTCTGGGCCTTATGGCACACTCTGCCCTTCAGGGTGATGGGACATTGGAGTGGGCCTACACCAAGGCCCACAGCACATTGGGTGCCTACTCCCCACTCACTCCCCTTCCTGGGATCAAGTACCCCTCTCTGTCCTGCCCAGAATGGCAGCTCTGCTCCTGAACGCATTTGAGGCTTCACAACAGCTTAGAACAACTGACGTGCTGCCTCTGTGGCCATCCCTATTTGTTCCCTGTGATTTTTCTCATTTCTTTCCTTTACTCTCTCTTCTTCTCATTCTCTGTGAAAGCTCTCTTTCTTTCCTTTGGGAACTCTAGGGTTTGTCAGTGGGCAAATCCTGGCTCTCTCCAAAATATACCACAGGAATTTCAAGAGCATGTTTAGTGACAGTACAGGCATTATATAGCAAACCAGCCATATCCCCACCCCCACCCTCAGTGCCCATCCAATAAACCATAGTTAGCGCATAGGCTCACCTGTGTGATGCCTCTGCCAAAAACCTGAATTGGAACCCTGTTTTTACATAGACAAGCACTGAGAGAAGGCAAATTTTCTCTCTTCACGTGGCAACAGCTGTGGGATCTCCACATGTCTGTACTATCACATGTGAGGGATAGCAATGGTAGAGACATGTGGCTTCGAGGAAGGGTAAGAGAAACACTGTGACAGGAAGGGAATGGCAGAAGCACTGAGCAATTTATCAACCTTTGCACCTCCACTATACCCTCTGTGGCCCAGGTGCTCCAGACCTCGTGATGAACGCCCAACTAGTGCAGGAGACTGCCTACTTGGAGGACCGCCCACTCAGCCTGCTCTACTGTGCCCACGAAGAGAACTGCCTCTCCCAGTCTGCTGACCACATGGACTGGCCCTATGGACACCGGCGCCTATTGCGCTTTTCCTCACAGATCCACAACCTGGGCCGGGCTGACTTCCGTCCCAAGACAGGACGCCACAGCTGGATTTGGCACCAGTGCCACAGGTTAGTGCCCATCCATACCATCGCTCTACAGGGTCAAAATGCAGAGTCCAGAGGCCAGACCAGTCCGATTTTTGCCTGGCCTCAAGTATACTTTCCTGGGAGGGGTGTGTACTCAGGAGGCAATGGGGAATCCCAGTAACACCGGCTTGCCCTCTCCATTGCTCTTTCATTGACCCTGGATGTACCCATGCTGATGGTGCTCATGAGGTCCATTTCCCAGAATAACATCCAACAGAGCAGTTAATGCCAGCCGAATTAGTCTCTGTTGGAACAATACTGGATTTTTCTGTTGAACCTTAGGCTTTGTCTTTAGATAACACTTTCAGGATGCTGGCTCTGCAGGAAAAGCTTGCTGGTTTCTGCAGCTTCAAAAGCAAGGTCCCCAAAGAAGAGCGTGAACACTGGTACTAAAAGGAGACACTGAGCATTCTTTCCTATCAGTACTCCCCAGCCCAAACAGAAGGAGAGACAATGCCTATGACAAACACAAAATATAAAAGTGGTGGTTTTTCTTTAGGACACAGCTGTGGGTGGGGAAAGCTGAGAGGAATGGGCAGTGACTCTGGGACTTGGCCTTGCTGAGATAATAAGCACCCTTCCCTATAGCATGAACAGAGTTGTCATTAGAACTGAATTGGAAACAATGGTAGCAATTTCCCACGCTGACAGAGAGCAGAGTAAGGACCCTCCTCAGCAGCTCAGCTTCTAGGCTGGCCCCTAGAAGTGCCCCTTTCTTCCACCTCCTGTTTAGGCCCTGAATCCAGGCACCAGCCTGCTGGAGGCTACCAGGACAGAGCCTTCACTTCTCACCTGAGTTAAGACCCTAGGTGATAGGGCAGCTGTGCCTTGCTGCTGCGTAGGGGAGCCAGGAAGTAGGCCACAGGTCACTAATCTTGGGTTTGGAAGAAGGGCACTGCCCTGCTGTTATAACATTCTCCTCTGAGTAATGATGGGGCCTAGTGCCTCAATCTTCCCTGCCAACTTCTCCAGTGAGGACCCTCTCTTGTTGCCACCAGACTGACAGCCCTGCCTCTTCCGCAGGCACTATCACAGCATTGAGGTCTTCACTCACTATGACCTGCTCACTCTCAATGGCTCCAAGGTAGCTGAAGGGCACAAGGCCAGTTTCTGTCTAGAGGACACAAGTTGCCCCACAGGTATGTCGTTTCCTGTCAGCATATGCTTCCCATGTTATATTCCTCACCCTTTGGGGTCAGGTTCCTCTCTACCCTGCTCAATAAACCTTGGCACCTGAAGACTCTGGCTTGGCAACTGACAGCACTCAGGGCAATGCAAAAAGACCAATTTCTTACCTGCTGAGATCTTAGGTAGAAGGCCTCTAAATACTTCCTCTACATTCCCAACACACTTTGAACGTTTTAAAACACTTAACACTTCTATATTTCGGATAATAGTTGCAGATCTGTCTCTCTCTGCTAAATTCTTTGAGGGCATAGACTGTCTGGTTCCAATTTGCACACCCACAGTTCCTACTACTTAGGAATGGCATAGTAAACTCTGGTTCCTCAGAGGGTTAGATGGGTGGATGGACAGACAAATGTATTAGCACAAAAGAGCTGGAGTCTTCCAGTCACTTTTCCTAGGCCAACAAGGATTTCCACTAGAACAGGGGTGCCCAACCTGCAGTCTGTGGGCCGCATGCAGCCCAGGATGGCTGTGAATGTGACCCAACACAAAATCATAAATTTACTTAAAACATTGTGAGATTTTTTTGTGATTATATATCCCAATATATTTAATGTGTCGCCCAAGACAACTCTTCTCCTTCCAGTGTGGCACTGAGATGCCAAAAGGTTGGACACCCCTGTGAGCATCCAAAGAAATAATCTCTGTTACAGACAGGTTTTGTTACAGCTGGATTCATGGTTAGTAGGAATTTTGGCTCTGATACTGAGGGAGGTTATTTATTGTATTTTGCCATGTATAATGCGCACCCAAGGTTTTTGTGCACATTTTACATGGAATTATATATCCATGATGTATGTATTGTTGTTACATACATCATACCCACGTGTAACATGCATCCATATTTTTCCCTCAAAAATTTGGGCAAAAAGTACACATTGTACATGACAAAATACAGTAACTGAACCTCAGGTCCCTAATCTGACTGTACCTAAGATCTGATTGGTAAGGCTGATGAGAGGAATAAATGATCAAGTACGTGAAAGACCTAGCAGAGTTCTTGGTCCAGAATACCTAAACCAGTGCCTCAATAACTCAGTACTCTTCCTTATAGGACTGCAGCGGCGCTATGCATGTGCCAACTTTGGAGAGCAGGGAGTGACTGTTGGCTGCTGGGACACCTACCGGCATGACATTGATTGCCAGTGGGTGGATATCACAGATGTGGGCCCCGGGAACTATATTTTTCAGGTAAGGGGGCTTACAGGGAATCTCCACAGACTCCATTTCCTCCCAATGTTCCAAAAACTTCCCTGAGGTCAAATGAGGGAAGAGTATAAGGTCAGGGTCTCCAATAGGTCTGGCACTTGAAGGAACAATGTATACAATAGGGGAAAGAATACTGAATCAGGATCCAGAGAACCTGGGTTTGATTCCTGATTGAATGGGCAGTAGGTAGTCAGAGCTTCTCAGCCCCCATCTCTAGAATAGGGACATCAATGCCTACCTCCCGGGGTGATTATAAGGATCAGTGAAGCAAAGAATAGAAACATGCTTTGTAGGACTACACAAAATGTAAAGGTTACAGTCACTATCAACTCACTCAGAAGTCAAATCACCTGTTTTCAGTTGTCCCCTCCTCTTGCTCCAGGTCATTGTGAACCCCAAATATGAGGTGGCTGAGTCAGACTTCTCCAACAACATGATGCAATGCCGCTGCAAGTATGATGGGCACCGGGTCTGGCTGCACAACTGTCACACAGGTAACTGCAAGCCACTATTGGACTAGCTCTATATGGGCTTGGGGAGCTGGAAGACTCTAAATATACACCTGTGTGACTTGAAGGTGTGTGTAAAGGATAGGTGTAACATCTTCCCAGTAAAATTTCCAGAACAAACTGATCAGACTATTAAGCCTCACCCAAGAGCTGCCACTTCTATATCTTTTTGTCCTTAAGGCTGTTTGGATTGTAAATTATTTCCCATTGTTCCTAGTTTCCTGTTACTTCAAGCCATGTCAGGATTTCCCTTGTCCAGTCTGTTATTTTCTCCTTCCCTTTCATATGATCTTTCTTAGTTGCCTTCATTTTGAGCTGACTGTCTCATAGGCAGAAGTATAAGTACCCCAGATTTGTGTTGCTGTCTCCAGCTGTTATTACTGCTTGCAGGAAGGGGTCCATAGAGAACAGGGCTCAGGACACTTGTGGGAGTGGCAGCATCAGGCAACAGAGGCAGCAATGATCCAGTGGGGGCAGAGTAAGGAGGTGGTTGCTCTACTTGTCTATAAAGAAAGGTAGCAATTCCTCCATCTTTAAGTTTAAAAACATTTGTATTTGCTGTGGGCTATGTGTGTTCACATCCACACTTGGGTGTATATAGGGAGGGACAGACCTGTTTATTCAGTCAACATTAAGACCTACTTCTGTGTTGAACAGAGCCAGGCAGTGGGAACAGAAACAGGAGTTGCACAACTCACTGTCTAGTAGAGTAAGCAGGCATGCAAATGGATAACCCCAATACTACTAAGTACGCCAAATGGGATGAACTAAATCCTGAGCAAGCAGAGACAGAAAGCAATCATCCAAAGGAAGTGCTATCTGAGCTGGATTTCAAAGGAGACCAAGAGAAAGGAGAAGGAGAAAGACCATAGGATTTGACTTCAAAAGGCTTTACTGGATTCCAAATTCAATTCCAACCTCTTCCTAGCTGTAATACAATGAGGAAATCTCAACCTCAAAATTTTTCTCTTACTGCACTTGAAATCCACTAAGGTTGTCTGCAGAGGAGGTTATGATGGTTCTTGCTAAGAGGATAGATTCTATCCTGTGGTCCTCTGGGAACCACTGATAAATTACAGTCAAGGGAGCAAAAACATGAAATTTATGTTTCGAAAGATAACTTTGGCACAGATGGGAGACAATAAGAAGAGGCAGAAGAAAAAAATCTAAGGTTAGAAATTTGTGTGACTGAGTATATTTCGCTGTCATGCAATGAGACAGGAATATGAGAGGAATCAGGAATTGAAATCTGAGGCTGTGCATAAGGAGACAGCAGACCCTCCATAACGATGGCAGGAGGCTGCAAGGAATCCAGGACAGTGAGGAGGGAAAGAAAAACAATGCAGTCCTGACCTGTCAGGGTCTTTGCAGAAAAGAAACAGCACACTTAGATGAGAGTTTGAGTTATTTAATAAAGACTATTTATAGAGATGCAAGTGAGATTAAGGAAATAAGAGGTGTTGAAACAACCAGGGATAAGCAAGAGTGGGAAACTGTTTTCACCTTTAGACTTAAAGGGGCAGAGGGTGTCCTGGAACCAGATGAAAGCTAGAGCTGTAGAGGAGGGAGAGCCTGGCCTGGGGTTAGAGTAGACCATCAATGCCAGAACAGAATACCCCAACCTCTCTCTCCTTCCACCATCTAATTTCTTGCTGTTGCTTCCCACTGACCTAAGTTAACCAGAAACCATAGGATGAAGGAGCCAGCATGATGCAATCTAGGGCACAGTTCAGTTCTCCAGGGCACAAAGAGGACAAATCAGGGCAGAGAATGATTCTGGAGGGGGCAGAGGAGAGTACCTAATAAGCCTATTCTGTTTCCACCTAATAGCCCTATTCTGTTTCCACCAAATAGCCTATTCTTCCTGATGCCCCTGAAACTACACACCAGTCAGGATCCGTGCCCATGGCTGACCCTATGTAAAGAAGCTCAGCAGAGTGTCTCTCTTTTTTTTTTTTTTTTGGTGAAGTTGTCAGGGAAGGGATGAGATTGGTAGGATTGGCTACTTACCTGCTTTCTTTTTGCCATAGGGGATTCATACAGAGCCAATGCAGAGCTCTCCATGGAGCAGGAGCAGCGTCTCAGGAACAACCTCATCTGAAGCCATCACTGCACTCCCAGCTGCTGCCCACACATCAGATACCTCAGCGTACTGGAGCCATGCCCTTTACAGAACCCTAACTCAGAGGGAAAGGGGCCAGTGCCAAGGGGCATCAAGAACTGCTCAGGAAGCCTTCTGATGGCAAGATCACCAAACCAGGATGGTACTGCTCCCTTGGGATGGCTCTAGGCCTGTCCTCTAAGGGCCTTTGGTCTATGGACTATGACCTCCGGGCTTTGTTCAGCTAAGCTCTTCTCCCTCAGGAGACCCAATCTTTCTTGGATTTTGCCCCAGAGTTTCTGGTTCAGGAACAATCAGTTCCTTAGGGATGAATGGCCCAGCCCACCATCTAAAGGGTGCTTTGCAAAGGCCCTGGAGGAGTAAAAGACAGGACCCATACACAGAAGGTGGAATTAGCCTTGTGCAAGATCGAAGCAACACAACTTGTGTCAAAGTCACAACTGGCATAGAAGTTTGTGAATTCATTCCCTTGCTTGATCTGCCCTCATTTAAAATTCACCTGTCATATTCTTTATCTGTTCAGTAGTGCCCTTACCTTAATCCTACTGTACACATGGGTGTTTCTAATATCCCTGGAAGCTTAGGCCTCAGGCATCCCTTTATATCTCCTGGTGGGCCAATGCCACCAATTACTGAGTGTCTGAGAGGGGGCAACTTTGCAGAAGTGGCCAGATAGGGCCTTTCTGCAGAGCAGCAAGAGAAGGTCAAGCAGACAGACTGCTGGGTAATATAGACCACAGCCCCTAACAAGGCCTCTCCCCGCTAACGTGCCATATACCTGGCAGGCCCTAAGATATCCCCTCAAAATCACTGTGCATCTCAGGACTGGCCTAAATTTCAGGTCTCAACCAAGTTACTGAAGTGAACTTTGCATTGAATGAATTTTTGCAATGGAAAGAACATTGGTCAAGCAAGCCACGTATCTCTGTAGGAACAAGACGACAGGTCTGATAGAGTGGGGGACAGTAAACTGTAGGGGAATATTTAATTTTGTTAAGGACTAAACCTAGGAAAGGCCACCATCCCTTCTTGATGCGACTGTGATATGCTTTTGCTCAGGCAGTATGAAATCCCATGATCTTCTTGGACATGATTCCTAATCTTTTTTTCACTTAGACACACTTAAGAAATGATCCTTACAGGTCTGTCACCGAATACCAATAAAGGTTGCTCACTATGGACTGAAAAAGACAAGATTGGCTTTGATTCTTTCCAGTTCCCAGCACACTAACTTTGCCCCTTTTCACTCCCACTGAGCTGGTGACTAGGATGCACAAGACACACATAATATCCACAACAGCCCCACTACACTTCTCTGATCAGATAGTAGCCTACTGACTGTCTGCTTCCCAATTCCCTCCCCAGGCTCAGTGCTGAAGAATAGGTTGGAAAGGTTAAGGGATGAAAGGTAGGAGGCAAAAAATAAAGTCCAAGGATTGTAAACTTTTATAACCAAGGCTGCAAAGTCAAAAGGAATGGCAGCAGATGGGGAAGATTTACAATAGAGCTCCCTCCCCACACCACGAGCACCGCACCCCCCCCTTAGTAAAAAGGGACATGCTCTGGGGTGTGTTCTATGAATAAAAAGAAGTGCTTTCTTCCTCCTTCCTCTTTACCTTCTCTCTTTCAACTCCTTCATCTCCTTCATTAGGTAGAGGGAGCATTATATTCTGGCACAGCAGTTTAGGTAAACAAGGGAAGGACTGATTTCCTGTTGGAGCCAGCAAACATCTCCCAAACAGTAACAACATTATACTTGCACATGCAGCTAATGGTCTGTGAAAGAATGTGCAGCTATTGGGGGAAGCATGTGTTGACTGATGACTAGATTCAGGCAGGGAGGTTACCCACAGCTTCTTGCTGGATCCAGTTTCCAAGAGGGCCAGAAAAGCAGGCCAGGCAGTCGGCTACCAACTCTGGTCTCAGTCTTGCTGCCCACATCACATGTCTGATAGGAGCAGCCAGTTCTAATTCTTAGAAAAAGCTATACAAGGGTTGTGCTGTTACACCTCTGAGTTGAAAGGGAAGGGCATAGGAAGACTGGTGGCTGGCATGACTTGTAACTAGATGAGGAATGTTAACAGAATACCAACCACCAAATTCCAGACAGAACCAAAAATGTCAAGATTTTTACCTCTGCATACTTCAGTCTCAGTAAAACTAAAGTGCTAGGAACTTCAGCTTACTCTTCAGAAGCCTAATTTATTTCTATTCTACAAAGACGTTCTACTATAAATTCCAGGTAATCCTGGATTCCAACATTCAACATATATGAAGCAATATATATGCATAGCAGAGTGCATCATGTCTTCTCATCTTCTCAAATATCTAACAAAGGAGTCAGTGGTAGCTACAGGGTACTCTCCAGTTAGCTCCACTTGTGAAGGCATGGTTTAGATGTGATCAAATATTTGATTTCCATCTGGAAAAGCTCAGTGTAGTCCATCCTGGGCCATGGCAGGCCCTCTTACCTCCAGCCAGTATACATCAATCCCAACTACTAGAAAAAGATAACTAAAAAGTACATTCTCTACTAAAGGTAGGAGTTAGCAGCACTGCATGGCTTTCAATACTGGCTAAAGAAGAAAAACAAAACAAAGCAAAAAACAACTCTTTCTCTGGGTCTGATTTTAAGGATAAATCTGAAAATTAGAAGTTGTTGATTGTTAGCTGGAAAGACACACACACACACACACACACACACATGCATGCACGCACGCACACACGCGCGCTACCAGCTACCTAGTACAAAGCATTAGAATGAAAACAAAAGTAACTTCTAGAAATTATGAGGACTACAAGAACACTGGGCAATAAACATTGGGCAATATGTTACTATTAATAATGCCCTTAAAAGCTGAAATGTCAGAAAGGGAAAGCCCCTTCAAAGGCAAGTAATAGGGGCAATCATCTTTTTTTTTACTAACCAAGGCCACTCAGCCTTGAAGGACCAACACAGAGCAAAGCTATACTTCAAAGGTATACCATTCAGTATGAAGCCTGGCTACAATTCCTTGTATTTCCTTTCAAATGCAGCCACATTGTTCCAACAGACCTGCCTATCTTAGAGAAGTCTGTTCTGTGAAGACAGAGAGCACAAACTCTGCAGCTGCAAGCCAAAGACAGGGGCACTAGTCTAAGTACTTGGACAGAGGGTCAAAAGAAGGACTTATTTAATCCGCCAAACTTGAATTGGAGGCATTGAACATGAACAAGGGACACTCTCAGGACTGACCAAGTCTGAGAAAAACAATGCTGAGGAACTCCAAGAGGGCTCCAAGACCAGAACAGCAGCAGGGATAGTTGTGTCAGGACTAAGACCCAAGGCCAATGTCATTTGAGAAATGTTTGAAAAAAGCCCCACTCCACCATGTTCTAGGTAATGCTAATAATCCATCATTGTCACAGGCACTAAATCATACAAAAATGAGGCTACTGCCTTACTTGAAAGCACAATGAAACAATGTTTCTTGCTACCTCAGCATCTTAAGGTCTAGCACTATCATTTCTTCAGTGCAGAATTACTTCCCAAAAACACTGGGAATGCAGGGATGAAATAGATAAAGCCTGTGGTGATGGCTCTGCCTTGTCCATGTCCTTTAGGAGGAAATCTCTCACTGACCTGAGGTGTTTGTTTTAGTCAGGCTGCTTTCCATTTTAATGGATGGTCTGGTGCTGCTTGCCAAGTACCCCTGGCACAGGCTAAGAAAATCATACCAAGAACATGCTATGTGCCAGATTATTTCTGCAGGATGTCAGATTTGACAGAAATGGGGAAAGGTAAGAGGCTGGAATGGTGGTGCACAAGGAGGGAAAGAAGGGAAAAGGAGCTGCCACATACCAGTCCCAGGAGAGGCCCCTTTGTGGTGTGCTCTGGGGCAGAGAGATGATGAGCTCTCTGCTCAGTGGGGTTCAATAAAATCAACAGATCCACTGAACCCACGCACAGTATTAGAAGGATGAGGATGAGAGTTGCTCTCCAATTTCTTTGTGGGAATGACAAAACTGACAAACACCAGAGTGATCTAGGTCATAAAATGGACTTTAATGTCTCCCTCTTAAAACATGATAGTACTGCTTAAACTGGAACCGGCAAAGAGCTCCCAAGACTGGTTTCTTAGGAGGAATGAAGTTAGCATGTCTCTGGCTGCTCTGCAGCCCCAGGCACTCAGCTAACTGAGTACAAACTCTGTAGTCCAAATACCCACATCTGTTGTAGGTCACCGATTTTGGAGCTCTGGAACTGGCAGTGTAGATTCTGTGAATCCCAAGTATACCAGATACTGTTCTGTCTCTTTGGTCTAGCTGCTCCCTCCCCTCCCCCTCAATACTGCTGTTCTCAGCTTTGTGAGGTACTAAAGAACACCCTGGTTTTGCAGGGCCTAAATCTCCCGTCATCACCAGTTTGAATCCTCTGTTTCATATTTGCTTAAAACATCTTGGAAGTGTGACCCACGCTAACATGACTTGCCCTGGCCAGAGAATTCCTGGAAGTCACATTTCCCAAGTTTTCTTCCCAGCTGACGGCTCCCCTTTATGCCCAACATAGTTAAGGTGATGACCAAGAACTGCATTTAGGAATGAAGACAGGTGGGAGTTTGTCTTCTTTCTACACCAGCCAGTCCTTGTCTTGATCACTTTATCTCTCTCTTTCATTAACAAGCACATCGGCATGTACACAGAATTCTGGAAGGATCCTCTTATCCGAAGACTGTGGAAATATTTTCTGAATTCATGAAATTATCCCTTTCATTGATTGATGTTCAAACTGCAGATTGGTCTCTGCCTTCCCAGATGTCTTCTCGTTGCTTGGCTTCCAACCGTTTTCTCTCTGTAAATTAGGGCAATGTTAAAAGTGGTAGTGTACTTCATATAACCAGTGACTTTTCCTTAATCCAAATTACAAGGCAAACTTTAATCAAGAGGCAGCTGATTTCCTGGTCTTTTCTAACTGGATTCCAAGAGTTGTATCTTTAACTTTCCAAGTGCTTTGTTAAGTGGAAATGAAACTACAATCTTATGGAAAAAATATTTCAGAGGCAAATTGAATTTCAGTATTTTCAGAACACTTTCAGGAGCCAGAAATCTTCTGGAATATACCAATTCCAAAGTGGAAAAATGACCACATATAATGGAGGGAAACAAATGGCTATTTCTAAAAATAAAAAATGCACAAATCTGGGCAATCCATTTTCAATTTTTAACATAAAAGCTTGGTTTCCATTTAACACTGTCACCAAAACATGAGAAAATACATACGATACAGGGTTTGGTGGCCCAAGCACTTCATTAGGTACCACAATACCAGTTCTAATTTCATGGTTTGTCATTTATCCTGATACCATAAAATGTTGATGAGAAGCCTAAATGTTTCCTTCCAACAGGTATTATTTCAGATAATGTCTGTAAAAATTGGCAAGTCATAAATCAGGTGGATAACAGAAATCAAGGTGAATTTAGAGTTAACACTACTTTGACGTATCTTTTTCAAATCAACAGAATCTCTTACAAAATTCCTGTACTACATTTGACTGTACTTTAAGGGCCAAGAACTTTGTTAGGAAGCTGACTGGCCTTTGTACACGTGTGAGACAGAAATTTGCTGCTATTTGGGCACCATCTTGTGGCACGATCAGAATACAGCAGCAAAATGGCAAAAACAGGGATCAGCAAATTCCAAACTGAAGGCAAGTAACTTCAATGTCTTGTCATTCGGCCTTAAGAGTCAAATTGGGTTGGGATTCTCCAGGAAACAGTGCATCTCTTAGAACACACTGAAGTTCTGATTCTCACAAACAGTAAAGTTAGGAAGGTTTCTAAAGACAAACCTTAGATGAAAGCAATCAAACACTGGTTCTGCATTCCAAGAAAAAGGGAAGAAACAAGAAAAGTCGATTATTAGCACTCAAAGTTTTCAATACACTCAGAAACTTAAATCTGAAAGGCAATATGGAAAGAGTGGCCCATAATCCACAATTCTAAAATCAAAGCAGTTCTGTAAACTTTTTTTTAAAGGTTTGGGCCAAAACTCATTTGGAGGTGTATCTAACCTGAATGTTCATAGTCTTCACATATGCTATTTAGGGTAACTTGTTATCAGTGTTAATGTGTTTGATTTTGGTGTTATGAAACACGTAACAAGATAACCATATAATCTTTCTAAAATTAGAAAATTTCAAAATTCTGAAACACTCCCTACCCTAATGCTTTCTACTAAAAGACTGTAGATCTCTAATACCAAATGTAACTATCAGAAGAAATTCTGGTTGTAAACCATATGAAAGAACCAGTACAATTAGGGAGACAAATTGGGAAGCACAAAGAAATAGTGAAAATGAGAGGTATAAATTTAGAAATATAGAACATGAACAGAATAAAAAAATACAGGGTAGGACGAGAAGAAAGTATTTTCTTCATTTTAAAGAGTAATTGGAAGCTTGGGCGGGAGGTGTTGAGTGACTTGCCTAAAATTACATAATCAGTGAAAAACTGAAGTTGGAACCCAGGTCCATAATTCTTAAACTAGCATACTTTCCACTATTCTGATATCTGAAAAGATCTACAAAGAAAGGGGGTGGGGGGTGGGAAAAAAAACCATATTGACAGAAAGATAAAGAAACATGCTGTCCCTGTATTAAATGGAAAGCAAAGCAAATAAGAGCTAATAGGCTGTATGAAAAAAAAAGCAATCTTTAACTTTACCTCCAACCATTAAAGAAAGTTAATGAAATAGAGTGAAGGCTCAACAGAAGCCATAAGGACAGGGAACTAAGGAAGAACTGAAGACTTATTATCATGAAATGATTAATCTAGAGCACTCACATAACCAGCCCTGAAAGCCTTCATTTTTCCTAGTATAATAAATAGGCAAAAATGATTATATAAAATGAGTTGATTGAAATCACCACTTCTCATTCAGAGAATAAAAAGGATTGAAGATTAAAAGAGAGCCAGTTTGGTGTCATGTTTGAAAAAAATAAAGAAAAAGAATGTAAATTACAATGTTCAAAATTTACTTCTACATCTAAGAAAATAATGGAGAAAATCATCACAAAATCTATCTGCATCTACCTACAAAGTAATAATCAACATGAAGACTTGAAGTACAAGTCTGGTCAAATTAATCTAATTGTCTTCTTTTATGGTTTGACAGATGTGGTAGATCAAGGAGAGTAAGTAACCTCTTAATTTTAGCAAGGTTTTAAACTTTATGGCTTACAAAGTATTTATATCATCATTAATATTCTGGGAAAATGATCTGGATTACCTAAATGCTAGAGGACATACAACTCTGGAGAGTGGATTGATTATCCATGTATTAATAAGTATCATCACAAAGGACTAGGTGCTATTTATTTAGCAATAGTTGTTGAAATTGTCTGTTAGTCCTAGGATTAACATTTTCACCTCTGATCTAGACCAGGGATGTAAGTTTATTAAACAGCAGGTGATAACAAAAATATGGGTAAATAATGCATCTCAGAGAAAAAGACCACATTAAAATGAAAGGTAATATGGTTAGAAATGAAGGGAACTTCACATCATGGGAGAGAAGACACCAAGAAAATACCGTAAGACCCAGATTATGAGTCAGCAATGCAGCACTGCCCTTAAAGGCAGAATAATGGAATGCCTGAAAAGGATTTCAGTAGGTAGCAATCGTGATTACTTTTTTTAATATTACAATTGACTAAGTACCCTATAAAGATGATTTTACTTTGAAATTCTTAGTGATTTAATTCATCAAAGTAGGGAATTAAATTTTTGTCTACTTACTCTTTCAGGTTTGTAACTTAAAGGTGGCCTTCTATGACTGGCCAGTTAATCACCTAACCCCAAGAGTATAATGGAGTTAAGTTGTGAAATAAAATGGCATGCTTTGAAGATGAGAAGGTGGCTTATTCTAAGAAGTAATAATATCTGTTCCTAATTTCAGGTGGGAATCAAGTGTTTTGGTAAGTGGTATGTCTGCAAATTTTACACATATTCCTGACTTTAGTCTTTAAAAGGTGGTTTTATCACTCAGTGTGAATCACTGAGTTAAAGCACATGATTAAGCCAAATACAAAGCACACGGGATGCAGTAAAAACATTTCGATGGGTGCCAAGTAGGAAGGGGGTTGACGTAATGGGTAAAAAAGAAGGGATTAACATGTACAAATTGCCAGTCACAGGGATGAATAGTATAGGATAGGGAATATAGTCAATACTAATATAATAACTATGTATGGTGTCTGATGGGTACTAGACTTATTGGGGTGATCACTTCGTAAGTTATATAAATGTCTAATCCTATGTTGTACACCTGAAACTAATATATTGTATGTCAACTATAACTGAAAAATAAAATTAAAAATTGGGGGAAAAAACCCAACCCCAAACCCAAAGCACTCAAGGATGATCTGTGCTTTCATTTCCCACCTCAGTGTAGCTCTGATCTGTTAGGCACTCTGCGGGACTAAAAAATACTTCCCCCATGTTCAAAGGCTTATGACATAAAAGTTCTTATCCTCTACATATATACGATTTGCTTAAAATGAATTGAACGCATTCTTTTTTCCAATGTTTTTTCTGAGTAGTTTTTTTCTGAACCTCCTTTTTAAGGACTACAATATAGACTTCTCATTAAAAGAGGTAAAAAGACCAAAGTAGAGTGGAGGAACTTAGCAGGAAAGTACTTAAACCTTCAAATTACAAATCCCAAATACATTAATTAGAAGAGTTCCAGATGAAGTGTTCAACTCTGGATTTTATAAAGAAACACCTGGAGGACTTGACAGGGTTCAGAGTAGAATCATGAATGAAATAAGATTTATGAAGAAATTAAAGTAACCAATGTCATTCATGTATTCAGTCAATAAATATGCATCTTTTTATAAACCAGGCACTGTGCCAGACATCAGAGCTCTTGGAAGACGAAAGGTTAGATTATTCTCTAGTATTATTTTTTATTCTACGGTATTATTAATAGAGGTACCTATAGAAGATGGCACATAGATCTCAGTTCCTTTGCTAGTTCTGATCAATTAACAACGGTCAAGTCAAAACTCACCAAGAAAGAATGTCATGACTAACTGCACTATCTGTCATGGCTAATGGGTGGGTAGCAGCAGTACATAGTACAATATATATTTGTCATTACTGGCTCATATTATTATAATGAACACTGATTTCCCAAGAATCACATAAATAACAGCATCCTGAATTTGTAAAGTACTTTTCTAAACATTTTTACACATGTTAACTTATGTTGTATTAAAAAATTCTTTAGGGTTAGGTAAGCCACTTTGTTGGAAACTGAGGCACACAGACTTGCTTATGGCACACAGCTGGTTAATGTCAAAACCTCTATTACACCACATTCCTAAATGATCTGTCCTTGAGAGAAATCTGGATTAAACTATTGGGTTGGCTAAAAAGTTGGTTTGCAGGTTTTTTCAGTAAGATGGCTCTAGTAGCGTTTAGTTGTCTTTAACTTCATTTGAAACAATTTTGTTAGATTGTGTTGTGACAGCTGTCATACCAGCATGCATTTGAAAAAAAAACTTATCAAAACTGGTGACTTTTTGTCTAGCCATTTTAATATTGAGGATGGAAGAAAATACACATTTTTGGCATATTATGCTTTATTATTTCAATAAAGGTAAAAACACAACTGAAACACAAAAGAAAGATTTGTGCAGTGTGTAGAGAAGGTGCTATGACTGGCAGAACATGTCAAAAGTAGTATGTGAAGTTTCATGCTAGAGATTTCTCGCTGGATGATGCTCCATGGTCAGGAAGACCAGCTGAAATTTTGATAGCAATCAAATCAAGACATTAATTGAGAACAATCAATGTACTACCATGTGGGAGACAGCCAACATACTCAAAATACCCAAATCAATAAAGTTATTGGTGAAAATGAAAAATGTGTCTTTTACATAAAAACTAAATGGACTTTTTGGCCAATCCAACATCATAAAGATTTAAGTTAGACCTAAGGAAGAATTTTCTGACAGTGAAACCTGCCAACCATTGAAACAGGTAACAAGGAAGGCTGTCCTATTTTATTTTCCAAAGGCCTTAAAATTTTCTAAGTATTTTTTTCTAGGAAAAAAAATTTTAATTCCCCCAAAGTCCTTCAAGAGAGATTACAGTATAATAGAAGGAGCATGGGTTTTAATTAGAGAGCCTTAGGTTCAAATGCTGGGCGACCTATAGCCAGTTACTTCTCTGGGCCACCTCTAAACTGGAGATAATACCATCCATCACAGAGTTATATAACATGTTACATTACCTGGAGTTTCCTTCCAATCCTTTTAATCAACAAAAACCTTGCCATGGCTTTTAATCTTAAATCTTCAGAACTGAAGTGAGAGGAGAAACAATTGCTTAAAATACCAAGTTCGTATTCTTCTTTACTAAGGTATCTCTGCTAGCTTGTAGGTGTTAAGGAGAGGAATAAAAATCTCTAATTCTTCTAAATAGAGGTCATAATGCTTTACACAGGGCAGGTGCTCAGTGAATGTCAAATGTAGATAGACTATTATATGAAATTTAAAATAAAAAGAATAATGATACAAAATATGCACTGGATTCAACAGATAATATTTTGACTATTACTAATAAAAACAGCAGCAGCTACCATTTGTCACTTATTAGTTACAGCCCTATAGAAACAGAAGGAAGAGCATTCTTATGGTTTTTGAGGATGACTAAGTATCTTCCATGTATTATCTCACTTGATTTCCATTTTAGGGATGAGGATACAGAGGCCTCCAGAAAGTATCTAATTTGCCCAAGGTCACAGAGCCAGTAAATAGCAGAGCTAAGATGTGGACCCAGGAAGTCTGATACCGCAGTCTACAGTGTTAACCACTATGCTATACTCGTTCCTCCCCTTCTAGTGAAAGGAAGTCTAGAACAAAAATATCTGTTCTGCTCAACACCTAAACAGTACTTTTAATTTTCAGAAAAAAAAATCGGCCAAGTTGAGAAGCCTTGGGGTCCACAAAGGCAGGTACCAGAGTATCTGCTCTATACAATAAAGAAGCCAGAAAAAGATAAATTAGGAATTTTCCATATGCATTTTCTCAGATATGAAGAATGGGAAAGCTCTGAAGCATAATAAAGAAAGAGTTCTCTATGATCTGTACTGCAGCACCAATAAATAGCAGGAACTTATCACAGTGGGTCTCTAGTCAAAACTAAAGACCTTCATTTAAAAAGTAACACAGTACCCATTTAGCCAACAGTCTCGTTTTTAATTGCATCACTGAAATGTCCTTTGTATAGCTGTGTACTTAAAACAAATACTTCAAGTGAAGCTGCATGCTGATGTGCCTACAGGGAAATAGAGGGGAATACTCAGATGATACTCATGCAAAAATGTTGCTGCAGAATCTGTAGAGATATGCAGGGAGGCATGATACACTGAAAAAAAAGTCATATATGCTTCTAGAGAGACCACTGTTATTACCCTCTATTGAAGCTCTGAGATAATTGTGGTTATCAATAGACAAAGCATTTTCTTCAAAGACAACCAATTAATAAAGGGTTAGGACATGATACATTCTCCTTTAATCTAATTCTGTTATTGCCATCTGTAAAAAGCAGACGATTAGTCTGGAATCCTCCTACTTCTGTAGTCTGTCTATAGATGCCTCTGAGTGAACCATGCATTGGAAAAATCAAAACTGCCTTGTTATAATCATTAAGGTTTCAAAAATTAGTTGGGTTCTACTCTGAAACTCTAGCACCTGCCATGACACACTCTGTCACTGGTTATCTGGCCAATGCAGCTGAGAGTCTGCAAGCTGCCTGCTATCACCAAAGCAGAGTGGACAGAAAGTATTAATGGCCTTGTTAGACTGGCAATAAACAAGGAGTTTGAAACTTCAATTCATTTAATGGAAAAATGAAGATACTTTTCAGTAAGTGGAATTTTCAGAATAAATTACCTTCACAAATTCCACAGATTGCAGGCTAAGGCAGTGAGACTGTCTAAAAGCCTGAAGGCTGATAAAAAGTACTTAAGAACAAAGCCAGAGTTCCAAGCCTTTACAAACAAGTCAATAGCCTATCATGGGGACAGAGATTTTAACCTCAACTCCAAACTATAGCAAAAGACAAATCCTGTTTGTGGATCAGTTGAAATATTTTCTGGGAACTCATATGTACTGAAGAATAATCAGAAGCTAGGTTAATCTAGATGTACTCTAATGGAGCCACTCAGGACTGTCTTTACCAAAAAAAAAAAAAAACCTGCTAAGGTTATCATCATCAATGTCAGCAGCTGGCTTTTCCTTAATTTGTCTTCTACCTAAGATCTAAACCATCTGATAATACCATGACAATCATGGCCCAGTAAAACCAAAGCAAATAATATTTTCTACCTAGAAGACTATCATGTTTTCACAGGAAAATTTTTCTCAGCATTTGGAGCAAGAACTATAGAAAATGCTATGGATGAGCTGAGAAGACTGAACCTATCTCAGAAAATAACAGCAGGTAAATGGATTAAGATGCCTTGGTGTGTGGAACAAGCAGACAATTTCAATATACTTGGGAGGCATCTAGGAAATGGAAATGACAAAAATGAAACGAGCTTCATTCTTTTTTTTTTTTAAACACATGCCTTATAGTGAGCTCTAAAGGGACTTGAGAAGAACACTATCACTTCAACTCACCTCGGGCTTCTTGCAGTTTCTTGAGTTCGGCTTCCCGTTCAGTTTTGCTCTGCTTACTTCGAACCCCAAGGGCACTGACGACTAGCCTTCTGGCTAGGGCTGCAGAAGTCTCAGGACGCTCCTTTGCTGGCTGGAGGAACTCTGAATGGGAGGAAGGGAGGGAGTAAGAAGGAATAAGGAAGAGAAAGCAAGCACTCTAGCTCTAAGTGATTTAACTCAGTAATTAACATACAAAATAGACTACCAATGACTGCATCAGCAGTAATTAATAGGACCTGATAGATGAACAGCGGAAATTAACATGGCAAAGCACAAACAACCCTAGCTTCTTTACCTGTATTAACACAATTTCTTCCAGTGACTCTTATCAAACAGCTAGACAAAGAGATAGACTAGATAAGGATGTTATCAGAAAATGGCTGCTGTGTAGCTTGAAGTTAGCATCTCCCAATTTCTCCAAGTGGCTGCTCAGATGCTACATATCCTACACAGCCTTTTCTATATCCTTTTTTCTGTTAAAAACATATTCCCATTAACACTGAAAATAAAAGTGGTGTGTCTTTACAACTCTGGACACTGTACAAGTGCCAGAAAAAAAAATAACACTAATATCAACAAGAACCAACACCTCCCTCCCCGCCTTGCCCCGAGATTATAGGCTCACCAGCATAAGCTCTAGCTTTGGCCTTGGCTGCTCTTGAGGCCTGTGACAAGGGCCGGATCTTCACCATGGTATGTTTACTACCAAGAGCATCACGAGCTACAAAGAAGAATAAAGGTAAGGAAGCAGAAGATATGAAGAAAAGAGATGCAAAGGAAAATTTAATGCTAGTTTTGGAAGTATTCCCCAGGCGTTAACGCCTTTTTTCTTTTATAGTAAGCAAAGGAGAAAATAAACTCTAGGAAATCTGTAAGTAACAACTTGGCAGTGATTATTTTATATCAGGGTCAACGAACAATGGCTCTGTGATCATATCCAGCCAACCACCTGATATTGTAAATAATGTTTTACTGAAACAGAGCCATGCCCATTTGTTTGCATATTATCTATGGCTGCTTTCTTGCTACAACAGCAGAGTTAAATTGTGACAGAGATCATATGCCCTAAAATATTTACTATCTGGCCCTTTAGAGAGTAAGTATGCAGACCTCTATTCTAGGGGGTTGAGACAGGATCCAAAATCTCTAATTTCTCTGAATGCCTCGGTACCACATCTATCACCAGGCCAACGATATATGTATAAAAGATATAGGCTTCTTAAATCTCCACCTGTAATCTGTTTATGTACTATCATAACTGACAGTTATGCAGCAAATAACCTTGAAAGGAGCTATTTCTCAAAACACCACTGGATTAAGGTGAAAAGGGAGAAGGGAAGCACATGGGTACCAAAACACCATGCCTCAAAAACCTGTATCTGTCAATCTGCCAATTACCAATACTAGCTGAACAAAATACCAGTTGGTTGGAAAAAAGGGAAATTAAGGACAACTAGCAGAATATAGACAACAAAAAATAACACTGAAATCCATTGGGTAATACCTGTAATCGGACTGGAAAATATTCCTAGGGCATGTGTATCATCCACCCATTTAATATCAAATCCCTTCTTCCTGCAACAAAAAAACCCACAATTTTATTTCATAAAATTTACCTTATGAAACATCTTTCAAACAGAGTCTCATAAAGCATTTCAGGACAAGAAAGCAACACTCAACAGTGCACAGGTGGAATGGGGATAATGACACAAAAAACAGCTTGAAGGACAAAAGAAGCCACTGAATTTTAAAAGCAATAATACCATCATAAAGAACTACCTGGGAGTATTTTATGTTCCCAGTTATTTTACAGACATCAACTAATTAATCCTCACAAGTCCCTGGAGAAGCTAAAGTATTTAACACACTATTTACAAGAGATGCACAGAACAAAAAGAGGTAGAAAGAGGAAGCAGAGGAGGGTTAAAAGAATATGAAAGGAGGAGGCTGCAGGGTGGGTCACCTGAATTTAATGCATATGCAGGCTCCAGGGCAGAGACTGAGACAGAGGAGAGAGACAGGTCATTCTAAGCAAAAAATAGACTTAAAAAGTTCAAGTAATGGAAAGAAAGTACAATTGTAAACAGAGAGCCTGACCTAGTCTTTAGAAAATACCTTTATTTTGGAGCAGAGCTATATAGTGAGCACAAGGACTATAAGGATGATGACATGACAGTTATTTTTCAACTAGGAGCTTAAAACTGCTCATGGACTCAATATAGTACCCTGGAACGAGCACGGTGTGTTTGAGGGTCAGATATAAATGGATTCAGGGGCTGCCATCCATCCTGAGTGCTGTGCTGGTTTAACCTCTCTTGAAGCTAGGTCTGCTCACCTGTAGGAAATGGATACTTCCTCACAGAGTTGTAAAAATGGAAATGAGATCATCCACCATAAGACAAAGAACACACTGTTGAGCACTCATTGGGCATTCAGTAAATGAATGACACTCATTTTTTATTATTAATAGCAATATTCATAAGGAAGATTATTAATATTAATGAAGATGGTGATTAAAACACAAAGCTGCCTGCAGTATTTGACTCACAGGCATTATTACAGACTTTTGCACCATGATCTTTTCTATTTTTATAAAGAAAGAAAAAAAAGACAACTGCTAAAATATTTTCCCTCTTTAACAACCAGTGAAGAAAAAAATTCCTCTGAGGGAAAAGGAATAAAGAAGCTTTGATGATTAGTTAGACAATTTCCTAAATGTAAGGGAAAGTTTAACCATAGAATAAAATGACCAGTTAGAGACTGAAAAAATTCAATAGTAAAAATCTATATCCTAAGATAGTTTACAACAGGATACAAAAAGATCTAGATGGGTTCTGGAGGGTCTTTTAGACTTTCGAATGCATAATCCTTTAAAATGCTTCTCTTTTGAGAATATTTTTGGGATTTGATTTTGAAAAAAGTATTACAGGTAAGGTTAAAAAGAAACAAATCACAAGGAAGTTAATTCACTAGAATTATCTTCAGGAAAGCCTAGACATCAACAAAACTGATCTTTGGTTTTAAAAGCCATCATTGTTAATGACAATTTAAGATAGTTCTAATTTGTGATGTAATTTCATTGACTGCCTTTTAAAATCAATTATGCATTTTACATGGAACAAGATCTGGATGCTGAGTCTTAACATAACTGAAATTAATTTGACTGAATGACCTACACTGTATATTTAGAGTAAGATCTATGGCAGAGATTGTTAACTATCCTCCAGGATCCAGACACCCCTTCTTTCTTTTATAGCACTGATGCACCCCCACCAACCAAATATAAGTGAGGTACACGGCTGCTAGCTAGTTTCTCGCCTGTTCTAGAACTTTGCAGGAAAACTGGACACTTATTTTTATAAATAAAGTTTTATTATATACAGCCATGCTCATTTGTTGGTGTATGTCTATGGCAGCTTTTGTGCAAATGGCTGAGTTGTTTAAAATATTTACTATCTGGCCCTTTAAGAAAAAGTTGGAGGCTATCCTCTAACCGATGTAAAATCTTACGAATTCAACAGGTTATGAATTGAATTTTAAATTTAAAATTGTAATATCAGATAATAGACCTGATTCATTTTTACTATCAAGACTGTGTAGTAAAAGTGTAATTCTTTTCTTGGTATTAAGTTTCTGTCAGATCCTGAAAATCTTTTTATAAAGTTCTTTCTCAATTATTTCTTTATTTCTGGAGCTTATTTTTTTCCTTATAAGCTAGAGATACAGAGGTATAACTTCTGACTCTTTACCTTCTCCTATATATTTAGGAATGATGCACATACGTAGTTAGTGCAATTGTTTTCAAACCCATTTATATCAGTTTTAATTTACATTTCGCTGCGTAATTTAATTGCACAAAACTAAACCAATGAAATTTGTGAACTAAAAGACTTGCTATATCTATAAAACCTTAGTGAAATGCTTTGGAAGACCAGAGAAAGGTAAAGTCACTAAAAAACCCTAAGAAACCACTAACAATTGTATTTGGGCAAAATAGTTATAAAAAAACAAGAGAAAACACTTTACCCTATTAGCAACATGCACTCAGATGACTCTGAAGGTATGTTAAAGTTCTTACTCCATTAAAAGAAATGAAACTGAAATATACGATGGTGACATACAAGAACTCTTCTACCAATAGACCAGTAACTTTTTACAAAAGGCCTTGGCACTGATACATCAAAGACTATCAAGTAAATGGATACTTAATAAGTAAGTGTTGTTAAAATAAACTAGTTGATACATGTTAACAGTCATCTTTTATCTTCTCTACTTGACTACTTCTGAGTGGTCAGAATAATCTCAAATCAATAATTTAATTTACAGTGTTTTAGACTGTTAGTGCCTTTGGTGCTTAGCAGGGGGAAAAAAATCCTTTCAGGAGAAATCCTCTTCTTTCATTGTAGACCTCCATTCCCATAAATAAAATTCCAAGGAAAATGGGCAGCTCACAGTAAAAAAAGAACTAAATCTCAAAAAAAAGCAATGCACTCTGAGTGAGAACTTGCAGAAATAGAACTAAAAAGACTTCAGGTAAAGTATTTACCAGATACAAACTATAGAAGGCCTATGTTTAATATACTTCAATTCTTTTTTTAATCTTGAAAATATTTAGAGAAAATAAGAAACTAGAAACTGACCACACAAATTTGAAAAAGATATAGAGAACACTGAAAAATGAAAACCGTAAAATGAAATCTAAAAATTCAATGAACAGATTTAATAGCAAATTAAACACAACTGAAGAAAAATTAGTGAACTAGAAACTAGAGCTCAAGAAATTACTCAGAATGAAACAAAGAGATGAAAAATATGAGAGGTAACATGAGAATCAAGTGAGAGATCTAATATACACATACTTAGCATCTTAAAGAATGTAAAAGAGAGAAACTGGCACAGAAGCAATAATTGAAGAGAGAATGCCTGACTGCTTTCCAAAACCAATGAAAAACATTAATTCACTGATTTAAGATGCCAAAATAATCTCAAAAAGAATAAATAAAAGGAAAAACAAACCAACATCATATGGAAAATGAAAAATACCAAGGACAAAGAGAAAGCCATAAGAGCATTCAAAGAGAAAGAAAGAAAAATTACATTCAGAAGCAACAGTTGTTAAGACTTTCGGCTGACTTCTCATCCTCCACACAAAAAAAACAGGAAACAGTAGAACAGTATCTTCAAGTTTCTAAGAGAAATATAGCTGTCAACCTAGAATCCTATATCCAGGAAAAATGTCTTTTAAGAATTAAGGTGAGCCCTGGCTGGGTTGCTCACCTGGTTGGAGCACTGTCCCACACACAAAAAGGTTGAGGGTTCAATTCCTAATCAAGGCATGTATAGGAGGCAACTGATAGATGTTTCTCTCTCTCCACCCGTCCTCCCACCCCCTCTAAAATCAATACACATATCCTTAAGTGAGGATTTAAAAAAATTTTAAAATAATAAAAAAAGAATGAAGTTGAAACAAACCCATTAAAAAACAACAAAAACCAACTGAGTTTCTTACTAGCAGACTATTATTAAAGTAAATGCTAAAACATTCCTGATGTACATAAAGAAAAAGATTTCAGATGGTTTGAGATGCAAAAATACATAAATAAAGAACACAGAAAGTAGGTAACTCTGATTGCTGAATATATAAAATAGCATCAAATGGAGTTTAAAAGGAAAAAGAAAAAAATTAAAAAGAATCAAAATGCTCATTCATAACAGCATATAAATTGGTGTGGGAAAGAGATAAAGAATGGAACTGGGAAATGAAGCTAAAAGCCCTTACAGTGTTTGGTAAGAGTGTGAAAATATTAACGTTAGCCGCTGAGAAGTTAATCATGCATTTTTACGTTCTGAAGTAACCACCAAAGAAACAGAACAGAATATCATTTTCCCCAAAATATAGAATGAGAAAAAAAATACCTCATCAATCCAAAAGAAGGCAAGAAAGAGGAGAAAAAGATGGGACAAGTAAACACACAAAAAAAGATGGCAAGCATACATCCAAATACAGCTGACTCCTGAACATGGATGGCTTTGAACTTGCAGTTTCACTTATATATGAATTTTTTTAAAATGACAGTATTGATAAATAGAGTATGGTACTGTAAATGTACTATCCCTTTATGATTTTCTTAATAACATTTTCTTTTCTCTAGCTTACTTTATTGTAAAAATACAGTATATATATTTTGTACATATAACATACAAAATATGTATCAATCAACTGTTTATTGTATAGAAAGGCTTCTGGTCAACAGTAGCCTAGTAGTAGTTAAGTTTTCGAAGAGTCAAAAGTTGTATGTAAGTTTTTGACTTTGTAGGTTGGCTGGCACTCTTAACCCTTCCCTATCTTGTTCAAGGGTCAACTGTATATCAATAATTTATAATAAATATAAATGAACTAAATGCACCATGAAGACAGCTTTAGAAGTCATCATTAATATTGTTCTTCCTAAATGCTAAAATGGGTCTAGAAAGAATATTTGGCATTTCTAAGGAACTCTGAAGAAGAGTGGTTTGATACGGAGTATTTCTAATAGACTTGGAAAAGACAATAAACAAATTTGATGCTAAAGTTACCAGGGAATATGAAAACAAAAGAGATGATTTTCAGAAGCCATTTTAAAGAAAACTTCATCCATCTTCCCTAACATTCCCAACCATTTGCAAATACTTACTGATAACTGCAGAAAACCCGTAGGAGGTCTTCAGTACGAAATTCTTGGGGAAAGTCATAAATTTCAATGACATGTGGAAATTCACAATCACTGAGGTCAATATCAGGAATTTCACTGTTGTAATAATCAAATCTAGGTTCCTGGATACTTTTCCTAGTCTTCATATTCCCTGATAACTAAGGAGAAAGCGTATTAGTGACTGTCACATCAAGCCAGAGCATTATAAAATATCCTCCCATATTTAAACAATCCTCCTTGTCTCCATGTTCCTATTCCTTAACCTTTAACATTGTCTCTGTATTAATGCTGTTCATAAGTATAATGACCAGAGTTCTATCACCCAGTTTACATTATACACATGGGATATTTGAAAAGGTACTAAATTTCTAGCAAAGACAGGCAATGCATGAAACTTAACTTGCATCTATCAACTACTGTGTGACAAAATGCAGAATGATTAATGTGGTGAGTTACATCTTAGAAAATGAAATTTCAGAAAATAGCTGAAGAGATGAATTAATAACATGTTTCATTTGAGCTTATTGATCAGACCCATCTCACAGTTTCTTTTTTGGAAGTAAACAAAAACAAAACAAATTTTAAAAAATGAAAACACTTTTTGTTAGTTCACCTTTTATTGAACGTAGCTTACAATGGAATTTGTTAAGGCAAATTTAAGTGGTACAAATAATTATATTTAAGGTCTCTAGCATGAGAGCTACCTAAAGTAATTCCCACATAGCAGGTTAGTAAAGGAATTAACAGTAATAAAAAATAGTTAAAATTCTAGGAACCTCTCGTGCATGTGGGGTCTCTGATTCTCTCTTGTATGGAGGGTTCCCAAGCATATGTATCTATGAAATTTGGTTATTTTCTTTCTAAACAAACAAAATTGCCCCTTAAAATTCTACTATGCTATGAAAAAAACTGAAGGCTATTAACTATTTTACACTGGAAGCAGAAGGGAAAGGGAAAACTGCAGTGGCAACAAAGCCACGATAGCCACTTTGTCATTCACCCATTACAAAACCTAGATGTTAGTACTGACCCACCAAAGCCTTCAGATCTGAGTATCTTCTGTTAATCAAAAGCCCAACTAGATCCCTTCAAGCCTTCCCTCTTTTATATTGTGCCTCCTTCCTTTCCCATCAAATGGGGAAATGTGAACTTGCAATACCAAAGATATATCTCCTTTCCTTGGAGAAGTAAAAAATAGATTTAGGAATTTTATTAAGGAGGGAGGGAAGGGGAAAGGTGATTTAAGTGAAATCAACAAAAAGGTTTATTTATTGTGGAGCCTCTAGCTCTTTTTCTTCAGTTTTACATCTAAAAAAGAATAATAATAATACTTATACCTCATAGACAGGTATGTGGATTAAATGAAATCATGTAGTAAGTGCTTAGCATACTACTTTGCACCTAAGTATTCAATGAATTCAATCTACTTTAAACAAAATTTAACTGAGTGCTGAATCTATTACAGGTCAAACTATTTCCATTCTTAGGATGCAGAAAGAAAGAGAATATCCCTCTCACCATAACAAAAAGACCAGCTGATATTTAAAATCATAATGTTTCTTGAGTTCACTAGACAGATAGCTAAGTATCCAAGACAACCAAGAAAACTAAAATGTACAGGATAAGTCCCTCCAAAGAGAAACGGGATCTATAAACTGTTAGCCTTTGGCAGATCATGGCAAGAAGTGGCCACCACATAAGCAGGCAAGAAGATTACCAGCTAAACGTGTAACAAATTCTTAAAAGCCTAGAGTGTGCTGGTATTATTGGTTTAGAATGACTCAGGGGCCCCCAAAACAAGGGATGTCTTTAATCACTTGCAAGTCCATCCTGTTGCCAGTGCCATACTATCTTGATGACTGTAGTTTTATTATAATAGGTTTGAAATGAGGAAGTTTGAGTCTTCCTACTCTGTACTTCTTTTTCAAAAATCACTTTGGTTATCCTGGGTCCCTTGCATTCCATATGAATTTGAGGATTTAGCTTGTCAATTTCTCCAAAAAAAAAAAAAGAAAGAAAGAAAGCAGCTGGGATTGTGTTGAATACGTAAATCAATTTGAGAACTATCTTAATTTTATTAAAGAGATGGGATGTCTTTCCATTTACTTAGGTCTCCTTTAATTTCTTTCAATGTTTTGCAATTTTCAGAGTACAAGTTTTATGTCTTTTGTTAAATTTAATCCTAACTATTTTTTATGTTACTGTAAATGAAATTGTTTCCTTCATCTCATTTTTGGATTCCTTTCATTGACTTTCAGAGCTACTTTGCAAAGAAAAACAAACAAACAAAGGAAGCACTGCATGTTCATGCATTTAAAAATTGGGGCTAAATAATGCATTGTGAGAGGTAAACAATGCAAGACTATAAAAAATATCTTGGAAATATAAATCCTAAGAACTGATTATAAATATAAAGGAAAAGAGAGACAGGATGATCTGGCAAAAAAAATCTGGTAAGGTCTTTTGCTCTAACCTAGTAAGCAAAATTGAATTTGTATAATTATATCCCATTTCTAAGCTAACTAGTAAGCATTTTGGCTTCTAGGACTAATGAAAACCAAAGTGTTAGTATTAACAAAACACACAATTCTTATTCTTTATTTCATGGAACAATAGATACAAAGCCTACAAGCTACAGACTCCCGCCAGTTTAACACTGACACTCCACTGTTTTCAGTGCTTCCTATCTTTTCCTAAGATAACAAAGTTTCATTTTCCCAAGCTTAGGATATTGCTGGGGTCAGCTTACTTTTCTACTGGTAAAACATTTTTTTGTGGAGATATGGTAGTAGGTAGGAGACCATACTGTTAATGGTGTTTTCTCTCCTGAAAATCACAGTAAGACATGCAAGGGAGCCTTGACAGAGTAAAGGAGAGGAATGTGTGGCACAGAAGGGGGAAGTCTGAGAGAGACAAATTTGGTATGAAGCTGGAAGGGAGAACCAGGGCAAGGTTATATGTGTGTGTTATGGGGGGAGGGGTCATGGCAATATATAGCCTTTAAGGAAAGACTCTAAGACTTGATGCACTGATTAATTATGTAGATAACTTTGCAGAAGACCTGTACTGTCTAGCACGAGTACTTGAAATGTGGCTCGCCTGAATTGAGATGTGTTTTTTTAATGTATAAAATATGCACTGGATTCAAGGGCTTAATACAGATTTTTAACAATACACCTCAAAAATTTATATGACTACATTTGAAATGTTATTTGATAAATTGGATTAAAATATATTAATTTCATCTGTTTCTTCTTACTTCTTAAAATATGGATACTAGAAAATTTTAAATTATACATAGGGCTCACATTTATTTGTAGCTTGCTTATTTCTATTGTACATAGCTGGAATATTTATTATGTCACGTGAATGGAAGCAACACTTGCTATACCATTAATGTGAAACCTTCGTATTGCAAGACCCACATATATATTTTTTTCTTTTTTATGGCTAAGAAATGTTTGATAGAGCAATAATAGAGGGAAGAGGTTTAAAATTTGGTTCACTCTTATCTATGTATTATAGACCAAAGGGAAGTTTGCAGACAACTCAGAGCAAAGAATTTTAAGCTATGAATCACAAACATTTTAGGATTTTTACCAGTGGTCTACCTTGCCATTTATAAAGCACAGATCAAATCTGTGTATTCCTTCATACACATAAACAAAAACACTCCACAAAATTATCTTCCACAAAGTGAGGGTTTTAGGATTCTTATAGCCTAGTAGTCTGGTCTTAAAAACAGGTTGTAACACATTACCCGATTTGCTATGATATAATTGTCCTGATTCCTATTTGTAGACAGGTAAAAGGCTGGAGACAGTATACAGTTGACAATGCATGGATCATTGAGCTTTTAATTTTTTTATTGCTTTTTGTTTGATCCTTGGTTTTTCGAGATACAAAAGGAAAAACAAAAAGTTCTGAAATCACTAGTCAGTTATTCTCCTCAGACAAAAAAAAATAAATGTTACATTATTCTAAAATACAGGTATCTTCATGTGTCTGTCAGATATGCATGTCTAATAAGCTATCATTATCCCAATTACAAAGATGGAAAATTGCATCACAGAGAGGCAAAAGAATTTACCCTAAAGTTACAAATCAATTCACTTGACAAAGTGTGAACACAGGTCTCCTGACTGCTAGTATTCCTTCCGTAGCACAATGAAATGGTCAGTGAACAGAATCCAAAATAGTGTCTATATCAATGTTAGAGCAACTAATTCTCTCTGATTAAACATTTATGAATGTAAACTATTCTATGAGGAAGGAACGAACGAACAAAGGAGGAACAGGGAAGGAAGAACTAAGTGAGGGAGGATCAATGGCAAAACTGGAAAGACCACTCCAGGTTGCTAATTTCTTCCCAGTTCTTTATTCTAAATAGCAAAAAGATTATAGAGTAAACTCGCAAAACAATGCTTTGATCATGTCATCCTTTCATCAAAAATCTTCAATGGTTATATTTTATTTTTTATTTTTATTTTTTTCCCCCTTCAGTGCCCTTCCTCCCAGCATCCCCTCCCCCTTAGTTCATGTCCATGGGTCGTACATTCAAGTTCTTTGGCTTCTCCATTTCCTATACTATCCTTAATCTCCCCGTCTATTTGTACCTACTACTTATGCCGCTTATACCCTGCACCTTTGCCCCAATTCTTCCCTCTCCCCGTCCCCTCTGATCTCCATTTCTGTGCTTCTGTTCCTGTTCTAGTTGTTTGCTTTTATTTTTTGTTTTTTTTAGGTTCAGTTGTTGATAGTTGTGAGTTTGTCACTTTATTGTTCATAGTTTTTGATCTTCTTTTTCTTAGATAAGTCCCTTTAATATTCCATATAATAAGGGCTTGGTGGTGATGAACTCCTTTAACTTTACCTTATCTGGGGAACACTTCATCTGCCCGTCCATTCTAAATGATAGTACTCTTGAGTGTAGGTCCTTGTGTTTCATGACTTCGAATACTTCTTGCCAGCACGGTTTCTTTTGAGAGATCGGCTGATGGTCTTATGGGAACTCCTTTGTAGGTAACCGTCCACTTTTCTCTTGCTGCTTTTAAGATTCTCTCCTTATCTTTAATCTTGGGTAATGTAATTATGTGCCTTGATGGGTGCTTCCTTGGGTCTAACTTCTTTGGCACTCTCTGAGCTTCCTGGATCTCCT